GACCTCTCCCTCTCCTCTCTGCTTTCATCATATTTACTTATCCTACATTGTCCCTGATTTAAGTTGATTCTAAATTGGCTGTCACGTTTTGGGTGGTTAGTGAATGACTGAATTTGCGGTCTGCCTTTAGGCCAATTATTGTTCGGACTGTTGATCTCAAAGTTACACAATCCTTCAAAACATGCAAACCCGAATAGATGCAGAAGCGTCAGCAACTTGACTTACGTGTTTGGTGCCGTTTTGCTACTTAACGGTGCAATGACATTAATTTTAACGTACGTCCCGGTGCCCTCCTACCTGACATCCATTAGCAGCGGTGGGGCAAATGTAGATGCGTTGATCTTCTCTACCACCGCGGGACGTGTATTCGCAGCTATCTGTTTCTTCCTCGGTATTACCGATGGCGCCTTTATGACCTTGTTGGGGCCAATGCTAGAGTATCTCCTGGATGATACCAACTTTCCTGCTGGTCTGGGCATTAGCCTCTGTATCATGGGTGCTTTTAACCTCGCCGGCACACTCATTGGCGGTAAGGCAGTCCTCCCACTTTTCTTTTCCTTTACCGGACCTTTTGGTTCGCCAATATTCCGTTCATTTGTCATTACTATTCCCGTTCCTTTTTTAGCTCGTAGTAGCCAACGGCTCTCATTAGTGTGTTTTTCCCTACTTTAAAGATGCGCTGCGATGTGGCTTTTTCCCGATCGCTCTAACCTCTTATCCAACCTTTTTCCTTACAGGCCATTTACTAGATGCGTCGGGAACATACTATAGTGCCAATCTAATGGCCGCATGTCTCCCTTTGACAGGATTTCTCATTCTCATTGTTTTTTCACTCATTTTTTGCTCCAGAGAAAAGAATTTTTTGGATTTCGATGAAAGCACAGCATAGAACGTCCAGCATTGCTCAACATATCTGCCTACACTGCTTCCCTACGTTCACTATCAAGCCCATCAGGAAACATGCTTTGCTCGACTTTATGCTTCATAGTATTCTAGAACGCTGACTGTAAAATTGTGTATGTTGGGGATTTTATGTACGCGGACTAATCAAAAGGTGGTAATATAGCCTAGTTTTCTCCATATGCAATCATATTCTATCGAACTTCCAACCAGGTAGTCGACAGACAGAAGGATATCGGAGCAGATGTCTTTATTAATCGATGTAGTGAGTGGGCAAAAGAAAGGAGAATGAAATACGCATGCGCTTGGCGGCTAGGTGATGTGCGTGTGAGGCGGCTGCGTGTGTTTTTGGTAAATTTGCGGTAAATGGTTCTGGCCTTCGAGTGTTTGTCATTACACTTAACGTACACCGCTGCTTAATGTGAGCTCATCAAAAGAGAGTGAGCAAGACTCTAACTCTCCAGAAACTCGAAAAAAAGTGTTGTTCCAGAGCCAAAGACGTTGTCAGGACCTCCTCTTGCCAAAGCATTGGTGGCGACGACTTCTGAAGTCGGCCTGCAACCATTCCGTTCTGCACCTTTTACTTACCCAAATGCTATTCTGCTATGTGCGACAGACCAGAGGGAATGTTGTCTTCCACGATCTTCTAAGCCAACTGCACAGGTAGAGGTGGTATCCGAAAAAAATGCAGCAGTGCGCCCATCGGTACAGTACCTCGTTGAACTTGAATTGCCTCATTGACTGACAGACAAAATCAGTCACAAAGTCGCGCTGAAATCAAAATCAAATATGACTTTACCGTATAGACGAAAATTTATGCGATCAAAAATTCAGGCCCTAGGGACCTCTCCCTCTCCTCTCTGCTTTCATCATATTTACTTATCCTACATTGTCCCTGATTTAAGTTGATTCTAAATTGGCTGTCACGTTTTGGGTGGTTAGTGAATGACTGAATTTGCGGTCTGCCTTTAGGCCAATTATTGTTCGGACTGTTGATCTCAAAGTTACACAATCCTTCAAAACATGCAAACCCGAATAGATGCAGAAGCGTCAGCAACTTGACTTACGTGTTTGGTGCCGTTTTGCTACTTAACGGTGCAATGACATTAATTTTAACGTACGTCCCGGTGCCCTCCTACCTGACATCCATTAGCAGCGGTGGGGCAAATGTAGATGCGTTGATCTTCTCTACCACCGCGGGACGTGTATTCGCAGCTATCTGTTTCTTCCTCGGTATTACCGATGGCGCCTTTATGACCTTGTTGGGGCCAATGCTAGAGTATCTCCTGGATGATACCAACTTTCCTGCTGGTCTGGGCATTAGCCTCTGTATCATGGGTGCTTTTAACCTCGCCGGCACACTCATTGGCGGTAAGGCAGTCCTCCCACTTTTCTTTTCCTTTACCGGACCTTTTGGTTCGCCAATATTCCGTTCATTTGTCATTACTATTCCCGTTCCTTTTTTAGCTCGTAGTAGCCAACGGCTCTCATTAGTGTGTTTTTCCCTACTTTAAAGATGCGCTGCGATGTGGCTTTTTCCCGATCGCTCTAACCTCTTATCCAACCTTTTTCCTTACAGGCCATTTACTAGATGCGTCGGGAACATACTATAGTGCCAATCTAATGGCCGCATGTCTCCCTTTGACAGGATTTCTCATTCTCATTGTTTTTTCACTCATTTTTTGCTCCAGAGAAAAGAATTTTTTGGATTTCGATGAAAGCACAGCATAGAACGTCCAGCATTGCTCAACATATCTGCCTACACTGCTTCCCTACGTTCACTATCAAGCCCATCAGGAAACATGCTTTGCTCGACTTTATGCTTCATAGTATTCTAGAACGCTGACTGTAAAATTGTGTATGTTGGGGATTTTATGTACGCGGACTAATCAAAAGGTGGTAATATAGCCTAGTTTTCTCCATATGCAATCATATTCTATCGAACTTCCAACCAGGTAGTCGACAGACAGAAGGATATCGGAGCAGATGTCTTTATTAATCGATGTAGTGAGTGGGCAAAAGAAAGGAGAATGAAATACGCATGCGCTTGGCGGCTAGGTGATGTGCGTGTGAGGCGGCTGCGTGTGTTTTTGGTAAATTTGCGGTAAATGGTTCTGGCCTTCGAGTGTTTGTCATTACACTTAACGTACACCGCTGCTTAATGTGAGCTCATCAAAAGAGAGTGAGCAAGACTCTAACTCTCCAGAAACTCGAAAAAAAGTGTTGTTCCAGAGCCAAAGACGTTGTCAGGACCTCCTCTTGCCAAAGCATTGGTGGCGACGACTTCTGAAGTCGGCCTGCAACCATTCCGTTCTGCACCTTTTACTTACCCAAATGCTATTCTGCTATGTGCGACAGACCAGAGGGAATGTTGTCTTCCACGATCTTCTAAGCCAACTGCACAGGTAGAGGTGGTATCCGAAAAAAATGCAGCAGTGCGCCCATCGGTACAGTACCTCGTTGAACTTGAATTGCCTCATTGACTGACAGACAAAATCAGTCACAAAGTCGCGCTGAAATCAAAATCAAATATGACTTTACCGTATAGACGAAAATTTATGCGATCAAAAATTCAGGCCCTAGGTGAAAATTGCAGAGGCAGATTTCAGTGCTGGTTGTTAATACAATTAAGACCTCAAAACATACCTTTCAGAGACATTTTTAAACCCGATTAGAAAATTCATCGATAAGAGAAAAAGTCGAGCCGAGAAAGGTTTTACCAGCACAAGAACCCAGGCCGATAAGGGAAGGGTACCATGCAAGTTGGGTTTGTGCCAAGGTGCTGAGGCAAGAAGTAGACTCGAGGCCAGTGAGCCACTGAGTACGGACATAATCGTAGACGAAGGTCCAAGGAATGACAACACCCGCTGCAGCTAGCCCGTTGGTCAGCACGTAGATGAGGAAGGGCGCGTTAGTCCACACGGCAGGGGAGAAAAGGCAAGAAAGACTGTTGTGCAGTTGACGGCAAAATTCCCTCGCTTGCGCGCCCGGGGCCTCCGTAGGTCGCGTCTTCATGTAGTCACGCCTCTGCGCCCGCGGTCGGTGCCGCGTCGGTGTCAGGATCATGAAGATGGGGCACAAATACCACAGACTCTTCAGTCGATCCACCACCACCCTTCGGTACACCGGAGCAACTGTACTGAAGCAAATCCCACAGGTTAAAAAAGAACTGTATTACCTTCTCCCACATATACAGCACTTCATTGCTTTACTGATACACTTATTTCTGTCCTTGGTTATTAGCGGATAACCGGAGGCTCGAACTATTTGGAGATCATCATTACTTCTAAGGTAGGAAGCCACAATAAGTCGCCATAGAAAGTAGAATAGTCCCTCAAAAGTGCATGCACACCTGAAAGCACTTTGCAACACACCCATACACCCTCTCATGGTGGCAAACAGAAGGATTGAGTATTTCTCTTCTGCTACCCTGTAATCACTCCCCCACTCCAGCCGCTATTGGCCCAATGCCTCAGGCCTGATCGAAAAACTTTTAGGCCTAGAAGACTTCCACAATTCTAGGTAAGTAGAGATTCATGCCTGCTTTCACATCTACTCTATCAATCCGAATTTGGCACGCCCCATTGCCATTGAAATAGTTTACCAACACTCAGATGAACCGACCTGGTTGGATAGTTATGGGACTGAGTTCTGATGTGTCTCCCAAGGATTTTCGTCTATAGGAGAAAATATAATCATAGAATAAAGTCCAAAATTTAGGGACTAGCTATTACTAACAACGATTAAATGTTCAGTTAGAGGAGTGAGCATTGGTTGCAAGGGTCTAGCGAAAACATCATCGCCAAGACCATTGGCACATTTGACACTACAAAGCACACCTTGAGGTGAAACAGCATAAAGTTAGTGAGATGACTTCTGATTCGGGTGTCACTTTAACGACTGTAGGTGTGTCTAAGAAATGGTGTTACTTGCATGTTGACTTTGCTTGGCACAGTGTAGATATTTGGGGCATTACAATTGACCTACACATCAATACACAAAGCACAAAATAAAAGCATTCGATTCCAGCATTAAAAGACGAGAAAACATCATAATTATCAAGGAAAATCGATTTATGAAACATTGGAACTCACACGGTCGCACCATCCACCTCTCGCATTTCTAAAGCAGGACAAAAAATAGGTTCCGCAGTGCAACATAACCAGAAATTAATAACACGTTCTATCCATAGGCAATGAAACATTTAAACCGTCTCAAGAAAGGAATACAAGCATAGCGTTGTCAGTCCATCGCACAAACTACATTCGAGCACGTGATCCACTTGCGAGGTGTATGGTGTCATTTCAAGTAAAGGTCGATTCATGTGATGACAAATATGTAAACGATTTCACCAGTTGAACGTCAAAAGCTAGGCAAGGACAGAGTTTTGGTACGTACTGCAGCACAGCAGAGTGCACTCAACATTCAGCATCTTTCTGCGCTAATAATGAGGCTTATAAGGACGAATCTATGAAACTATCCTATTATCTAGTAAACCAACTTTCAGAGCGAACTGTGCAGAATTGGTGTACAAATCCGATCCACGCTCAATATTTCACTGTTCATAGTTGGTGATTTTTGCTCTTCCCCTGGACCTCCAACACCAATATTTAGGTCCAGATACTATCTAAACGGTAAGCAATCGCTAGATTGTCATCAACAAGTCACAAACTGCCCATTCGTATACATACTCACCTGCCTTTCTTACATTTGATCCCTCATGTATGCCTACCCCCCTACCCCGAGTAAATTCCTGATTAACACCAACCAAACGTAATACAGACCCTGCAATTAGTCAAGAAGCCGCGGCGACATCACGACCACACATGTTGCGGTAGCATGGCCACTCACACATACCGAGATGTGACTCGTATTTCTCCCACTCGCTCTGAATTGTGGCTCTTTCGTCTAACCAGTAGAAGAGGGAGGCGGAGATCCAGGCATGGAGAAAAATACCGCCCTGCAGAATGAGAGCCTCGCGCCATGTCCAGAATGAGAGGATCCAGCTCAGTAGATGATTCGTAGCAAAGGCTCCAATTCCTCCACCACACACCATCACACCACACGCCAATCCGAGCCTACAAATCGGTAAAAAGTGCGTTGCCTTGGATGAAAACTTACCACACCATCAAACGAGCCCTCTACATCAGTATTAATATAAGAGTGAAACAATGTAGGTAACTGCAAGTTAAGAGGAAAATTGGTCGCGTTCTATAGGTGTTTCTTAACAGCGAAAAAGCCTCGCCATTTGCTGTGCGTTCGCCATTAAAGTAAAATAGTTGCATGCCTCGCTTCTCCCATGCTAAGCAAGCCTACTCCATACCCAAGTATTTTTCAATGTTAGGATCCAGCTGAAGTGAAAAGGTAAGTTAACAAAGATTGAAACGTTCAGTGCCAGTAGGCACATGGATGATTCTCCGGTGGACTTACCATTTGCTATCCTTGAATGTAGAAACGACGGCCATAAATGCGGCTGTATAGGTCAGTTGCAAACCAAGCGACAGCAAAGCGCCATACGCAAAGTACGTGAGAATGATTTCCTGCGCCAAAGAGGTAACTAAAGCCAGTATGCCACAAGCGTCCAAGCTTACCAATGAAGCTAATACATAGGAAGAGTGCTCCCCACGCAGCTGCTGTTGAATACCCCACAATAGCTGTGAATGGGCATATGAAGGGTGACATAAACTGCGGGATGGCGTAGACCAGTGCCGGCAATAGTGAGGTGGCTGTTGCGCCTGCGTGAAATATGTCCTTAAATTCGGTGAACAAAATGCCCGCCGAATACGTACATCCATCAGCCAAAAAGTATGAAAGGAAACCTCCCACAACAATCATCCACTTCAGAAATGTACTTGAGCTCATCGCGACTCAAAATTCCAAACAGCTGTCGGGACCAAAACGCGTCTGAAACTGAGCGCGGCGTATTTACTTGTTCCATCAAGGACAAAAGAAAGCTATGAAAAGAGGACTGGCTAAACGAGCAAATAGACAGAATCAAGGCATTTAATTAAATATGCACTTTTGACAACTTGCAAGTCAATTTTTCATTTGTAGATATTGTACACGATCAGTTACAGTTGTTAACCAAGGTGGTCACCCAAAGAAGGTTACATCAGATGGTAAAGGCAGGACATATGTGATGTAGCTTTAATCCAGCACCTTCCTGGTTAGTATTGGCCATCTTTCTTAACCATTCCAATCCAGACTTGAATGATTGTGCAGCTGAGGCCTGGAATCGTGCCTGTTCAAACCCTGTCAAAGCTAGACATTTTCTCACACTTGAGTAGCGTGTCATTATTTGCCTTATCAACGGAGCGATTTGTCCAACTGAATCGTTAAGTCTACTACACATGCCTCGATCAAAACAAACAGACCGTCCTCTAGGATAGGTTCAAATTCGAGAACGACAAACTGCCAAACACCAATGCTGTTTGAGCAGCGTATGTGCAAACATTTCCAGTACAGCCATGAGCCCATCTTAAAACAGCAAAACTTTATTGCAAGATACATTTTGCTAATCTTTGATGGGGCTGGCTGCATGCTTACTTTGATTCGTTTCAAATTATTTTCAAAACCCCATAAAAAGTATAAAAATGGCCTGATCGGTACGCGACATTGGCACAACATTGTAACGCGTCCGATGCGGCAGTGTACAATGGCTAGATGCCAATTAAATGGTGCTGTCATTCTTGTTAGCCGGTCTCATTATAATTTTGCGACTACCACTCTTCTACATTGCATCCAAACTCGTTGCAAAAATACACCTCTGAAATTAAAGGATCGCTTCATGGTGCAGAGAGTTATTGATGTAAGTATGGACAGGGAAATTTTGCCAGTATTTCATCTTCAGAATATCTATTTTTTATGACAGACTTTTGAGATAGTGTCGGGTTAATTGAAGGAAAATATGAGCGCTTCCTCTTCACAGACGTTTAAGTTTCTACCCCGACCAAGCGGCCGACTTTTCACGCCCCCCTGCCAGCATTTAATTCGACTCAATTAGACACACTAAATCAACATCTTAACGGAAACACTTCACGAGAACTTGCTTCGTCCGGGCGATCTATTCGTTCGCCATCTCGCTGAAAATTTTGGGGCTTTTGAAAGCAAGCAAAAGAGTGGTTCATGCAGCGGTAGCATACTCGGGGTTTTATTGACTGTCGCACATTCACATCTTGCACGCAATCCCAATATTAGAATAAGATTGGGAAATCAGCGAAAAATTAGGCACATTGCCTTCTTCGCATACTATTCTACGGCACCTGCTTGCTTCAAAGTTTCCTAGACATCCTTTAACCTCAACCTTGCCATATGGTTCTTTATGCACTCCAAAATAGGACTAATAAAGGCCACAGAATGAGATGTGACCTCAATGGAGTTGTTTAAATGTCTCCTGGGATCGAGCATGTCGCAGGCAGCAGTGCACGTGGGTGTTCGCGACGGTTGCTGCGTGCTCGGCAGGCGGTGGGTCGTTGCTGATGAAATTCTCCACCAAACTCTTTGATGGCATGATATATGCATCACCAACTGATATGATGTGCAGTCAGTGTTCTTTTTTCTGTTCTAGATTATTTGCTACGGGAGGGTAAGTAGCACATCTCAATGATGATTAATCACGATGGTCTTCGTGCTTTGTTGTGACGATAAACCCGTTTCTGATCGCTTCGGTGACGACGCTGTCTCCTTGTAGGTTCTCGCGGTGACCGGTGGCCCGGAGGTGGATGAGATGTAAACGGTGAGTATTACGGGATGACAAATTCTTTCCCCGAATGAAAAGCGATGTGATATCTTCGCTGATTGACTGACGGACGGTAACGATTTTTTGCACTTGTAGGTATTTGTTCAGTGGTAGCTGACCGGGAATGAAGTGTGAGTGAGTCAATGATGAAATAGATCCAACTCTGCTTCGTGATGCTTTTGTATGAGCTTTTTAACACTGACAATTTGACTAAATGTGACGCGGCTTTATTTTAGTTTGATCACATGGTGGTGGGCCTCGGGTTTGCACTAGCGACGAATCCTGTCTTGACAACTAGATGTTGGCACAGGTAAGTCGACGCGCAGGATGTGATGGCATCTTTCGGGTCCTATTGGGATGCGGACAACTTTCAACTGATCCTAGAGGGTGCTAAAACAGTTATTGTTTTTTCAGGTGAGGTATTGGACTTGTGGGACGTCTTTGACTCTGGTTGACATATTGGGGAATCTGACATGCGTAATTTGTGAAATACACTTGTTTTATCGGCGCCACTTCTGGCGGTGTTCTTGCTTCTTGTGGTCCAGCTTTTGAATTTGTTGCCTGTGTATGAACGTGGTTTTATTTGGGCGGTTACATACTTCGGCCACTGGTATGTGAGGTAGTGGTCAGTTGTTGTTGCGAGGGTTGGGAGTGTCGCTGACACCTACCAGTGCCCGACTGGTCGGAATTGCGTCTATGCGTCGGTTGAGCTCGAGGTTGCACCCTGTCGATGATTTCTCGGTTTGCTGTGGTGAAGTGGGTGACTGTGTCCATGTCTGGCGAACGGCTTAAGATAACGTGACAATTTGTCGTGTGTGTGCATCCAGCGCTCTGTCCGTTGGTGATTGTTGCTGTCCATAGAGTGCCTGGCCGAGGTCGCCTCGGGTTTTTCAATGGCGCTGCCAGGTCCCCCTACCACGTCTGTGTCAGCGGCGCAGTGTGCGCGAGAGTGGAAGTTGAAAGCACTATTGTGGGAATCACGCTTTCTGTGTAGTACTGGATTTTCGCGTTTAGGACAACGGTAGTGGTACTGCGAAATATCCGTGGTGAGGGCGAGTCTAACACTAGTTCCGCTGAACGCTGCCCCAAGGCACTGCGGTCTGCACGCCGCCTCGCAAGTGTGGGTCACATGACAAATGGTGTTATTTAGCGAAATACAATGGGACAAACTAGATAAAATGCGGGTTTAATGAAAGGGGTCATGAATGTTTTGAGGGAACGCTGTCTGAGGAGTCGAGACTGCTGTCACTGGATTTTCTGAGGAGGGGCAGACCAGTTTGGTTTCTCCCCCCCTCAATGTTTGAGTAGGTTATTGGCTGCCCGTCGATGTCATTGCGAGTGACAGAAGACAGTGAGGTGGTGCGTGAATTGCCAGAGAAGTAATGTAGCGAAAAGTTCGCGGCAGATACATTGGCGCCGGTGATGGTAGAAGTAGCAGCATTGGGAACGGTGGAATCTTCGTTCTCAACGGAGGGCCTCTGTTGGCGACTGTTATGATGATGCCTTCTGCGACGCCTACGCTGGTGATGCGCCACTGCTAGCGGTGGTGGCACGGCATCCAGCGACTGATTGCCTGTGGTCTCTGTGCCAGCGGCGTCCAAGGTGGCTTCGGAGTGGAGAGAGAAGGTTGACAAATCGGCTACTAGGGAAGAGGAGGGTGTTGAGGGTTCCTCCACCTCGAGTAGTCGTGGACGCTGGTGGCGGAGAATGCTGACCGTATCTACGTAGACAGAAGGTCCAGAACTCTCCACTGCCCCACTGCTACCACCGCTGGCGTCACTGACGCCAGCAGCAGGATCTGTGGGTGGTGATATTAACTGTGCCCGAGTCGACTGCGAGGAGCTTCGCTGTTGTACACCCCCGTGATCTGCCTCTCCCATCAAGTCATCACTGGGGACATCCACTGCAGCAGCTGGACACTCCAAGTGAACAAGATGAAAAACGTCGTTTGCTGTGTTGCCGGTCCCCGTGATGCGTATGAAGGTGACCAGTTGCAGAGGGAATTTAATGGTCTGCCAAGAGCGGCAGAGAAGCTGGGTGGCGTCGAAGACCACAGTCCAGGACAGACGATCTTGAGATACCTCGACAATGTAACTGTATGCTCGACTATCGAGATCCCAGAGCAGAAATCTGAAATCAGTTGCAAGGCTTGTCGTCAATATTCCTCACCGTGACGCGGGAGGACATTCTCTCTCCCGCAATGGATTATGGGATTGGAGTGGGAGCCTAGCTCGCGTTAGTTTAAATAGCACATTGCTAAAAATAACGAAGTGGGAATTGACCCACCGCATGGAGGAGACCAGGAAAGGTTGTGACAGTTGGACGTCAATGGAGCCGTTACCAAGTTGGTGACAAGTAAATCCATAATTGAGATTGTAAACAGAGACGTCGCCATCAATCAGAGAATTTCTGAGTCTGCTCACTCCCTCCAGTACCGTGGCTCCACGGTGAATTGTTGCCACATTGGTTTGCGGTACCTACAAGAGACAAGTGTAGTGCAACTAGAGGAGGGGTTGCCAGGGCAAGGGAAAAGGAACATGACCCTCTATCACTCTATTACACCTACCAGGAGGTCGTTCTGAACCGTGAATTTTTGGCGCGTGTAGAGGCACTGAAATGTTATGAGATGGAAGTACTTGCCCACCGAGCTGCGAGTGCCCACAATGCGAATGTAGCGAATAATGCGTTCGGGAAAGTAGAGTGTCTGCCAGGAGCGGCATGCGTAGTTGCTGTAGTCAACCACCTTCTGCCAGGAGCTCTCATCCAACGACTGGGACACTTCCACATAGTATGAATACGATCTGAAATCACAAACTCGATAACAACTTTGCAATGCTAAAGGCGTGAAAACTAATGACCACAATTACTACCTTTTCCATTTGGTGGCTGCATCACCTCCCTCCACAGAGGATTTGCGTGGCCGTCATTTATGGCTGAAGTGTGGCTCCAATGCAGCAATAATGGACTTACTATGTGACCGTGGTCGTTTGCATTCATCTGTCGGCCTAAGCACGATCGTACTTTACATATCCTTTATCCCACTGCTAATTCCTCTTTCTCCTACATGAATGAATCACTTCATGTTGCCAATGCGGCTAGCGGTGTCCGTAAACCTCTCAACAGTGAACACCTTATCGGTTTGATTATGAGTTCTGAACCAGGCTTATTCCTTTGTGATTCAGCTAACGCTGCCTCATTTTAAATATGCTAAAAAATGCATTTTCTTCTTGCTTTGTTTTTCTACTTGTCCTTTTTTTTCTGCAAAATGGTACCTTTTGGCAGCTGAAGCCTAAGTTTCCTTATTTACAACTGCTTTGCCAGAGTGTGGTTTAAAATATGCAAAATTTTAATACTTTTTTGGTTAAACATCCCTTTATCTATCGAGATGTTGCAATTTCGCACGAAAATTTTGACTCGACGACGTCAACTTTTTGAGAGAGAAAGAGCGCTGATGTCACTTTAACTAGTTATTTTTTCGAACTTTCACCGGCTCTCTTAAATAAAAGATGTCTTCCTTTACAAAAATTTCTACGCTGCCGCCTGTGTAATAGGCTCCGTACCGCTCACTACCGCGTCTAATTCATATAAATTTTGAATAAGTACAGGTGTAGGAAGACTTCTACTATTTGAGAGGCATGATCGAAGTTTGCAGGTCTTCGAAAATTTTAAGGGGATTAAGGTTGATAAGAAATCCCTCTACTATAGAAACATTGCAAATCCTTCATCTTCTTATGGGCACCAAGATTAGCGCCCCCTTCGCTCAACGTTTCCCTTCGATCATTTTAACGTATTTAGTACTGAAAAAGCCAGCTGCCACAATGATTAAATTCGAATTTGAAGCATATAATCCCAACATCACTGATACGCCTCGACAATTCCGCTGCATGCTAAGTTTTGTCCCACCCGTAAAATGTGTTGGGTAAGGAGAAGTGCAATGACTTCATCCTGCTCAACACTGCACTATTCTCTTCCACGAAAATAACTCGGATGTCAATTGTCAGTCGTAATGCTGATGGCGCCAATGCAAGGCCATTCAGAACAAAATAAGGATAACATTTGGCGTATATTATTCATTGTCCCTTCCTTACATTTTCAATGCTGCCTCATGACCTACCTCGGCTCTATTCAGGCGGTACAGACATGGTCACTCAATTAATATCCCCATATAAGCGCCGTAGACAGCTCCATAATAGACTTTTCTAAATGGCTTAAATCTAGTGTCATTGCTACCATTCTTGCAGGACGTGGGATTGAAGTAATTGCTAAAGGTAGACGCGATTTACAGCACTTCCTTTAGGCATCTTCACAGATTCACCCATCCAGAGCAGAAGCCTTTCATCTGTGGCATTAAGGTTCTGTATTCAGCAGTAGATGTCATCGTAGTTGTCCTCTAGGATCGTGTTCGTCCGCCACCGCCACCAGCGCGATTCTCCGGGTCTACCCTGAAGATGTAATAAGGCAAACAAGCGTGAAAGAAGATGCATGAATAATGCACAGAGGGAGTGAGGCTCGTGGCATGGCCCGGAGCCCATTTCGTCGAGCAAATCAGTCAATACGAATCTGGTGAGGGTAGGAACGTAATCTCTGATACCTGAGAAAGAGGCTCACCCTAAATAAGTGCCACCCTGATCACTGTACCCCCTTCATAATATTGCTAATAAAGAGTACCCCCCATCTAATCAGTCCACTCGCTCCAGGAGAATGAAGGCCGAGTTTGAAGAGATGAAGGCCAAACTTATTGGGGTACATTCTGCGGGGACTTCAGTGCCTTCGCGATCAAATACACAGCTAAGAAAACAAAGCACTGCAAGTTTCCTATATCGTTCATTCCAACTAGGTGTGCTTGAAGCCTTGACCACCAACCTTCATTATGGTTATTTTTAGTGATACTAAGTGGAGATAAACGCGGCATGTCTTATTGGTCCATCCAAATATATCCTAATGTACGGTAATCTGTATAACAAAAAACCATCGCTCAAAATTGATCGTGCACAGTGGTAGTATCGGGGGCCTAAAAGATGTGTTGCAGGATTTGCTGCCTGTAAGGCTAGGTTCAAGGACGTTCCCATAAAATGCAATTTTAAGGTAGATGTTTCTGATTTGCAATTTATGTCGTTTTGCACTTATCAGCGCATAAAATCTCGTGAACCTTACTTTGTGCGTTTGGGTGGTGATGTATCTGCAATCTTTTAAGGCGACCAATACAGGGTGGAATTATGGTGATTGGATCTATTTACGAGTCCTTAAGGGTTGGATGAGTGAGGTATTATCCTTTCAAGCATGTAGATAATTTGGAAAAGCAGAATTACTCTCATTCCTTAAAGCCAATTGTTGAGGTGCAGGTGGTATTACTGATCTGACGCAATGACGGCGCCAAGTGTATGCGTGATCTATGAAAGCGGCCAAACTGTGACAAGTATTTTAATACAGTTAAGTTTAATTGCCAGACGGCATCTGACGGACGTTTCGAAGGGATAATGTTTGGTTTAATTATGTTGGCTTCCACCACTTTAGACCGGAAGTAAAATAATCTCTTTAACCTGGGGTATAAATGAGTTGGGTTTAAAATTCGGGTGCCCTTCATGAAACCGTTCAAGCTTTTCAGCAACGTACGTGCTTTAAGTCACTATACGTTGCATACTAAGAAGTATAAAAAAAAATAACTCCAGTCATTTATTTTTTGCTTAATATCATGTTAAACCGCATGAAATCTTTATTCTTGGCAGTTTGTACCTTTGCTAGATGACACCGTCCTCCGGCCTTGTTTACAAACTCCCACTCCTTCTGCACATTAGTAATGGACCTCATCGCATACTGGTGCAACTTATCTCCACTGTGCATTCACGACGACGCAAATCCGTGCACTAATTCAAAATACAGTTTAAATTAACAGAATAATCTCATGCAATCGGTTCACAAAATTCCGATTCTTGGAAAATGAGTTTAGTTTGTGTTGGAAGTTCTTTGGAAGCTTTCCTTGACAAGAATTAATAGTTGTTCTAGATGTGCGGGAAGCTACTGAGATATACGGCGTTGAATGTACCTCGAGTTAGTGAAAGAGAAAATTTGACAAACACTGCGATTGCAAAGGGCCCGTCAATTCTCAAAGTGAAAAAAATATCTTTTCTGAGTGAATCCGGCTGTTCATACGATCCCATCTTTCCATAAAAAATAATACCCGGATCTAGGAGTGAGGAAGAAAGGGATAATCCTAATGGCGTCTAAATTGGCCCGGTTGCTGTCTTTTATAGGGTCGAGTGTTGCCGTGTTTACTGCTGTGTCTGTTGGATATTCATTAAGAATGTAGAATGATGATCATTTTGCCTTACTACATCGCGTACCTTTTTTAGCGATCCCGTTACCCTCTTACATTGGTGAACTAGTAATTTCCCCCATATTAATGACGAAAATTGGAATCTTCAAGTTTAACGAAATTCGTGCTTTGGACACATCAAAAATATGTTTCATGTTCAGCCAGGATATTTTATTTCTTAAAATCAGTTTCGACCGCACTCGGAATTTTGGATGATGTTTAATGGTTATGACCTTGTCCCTCCTTGCCTGTCACATCGTGCTGCCTCTGTGGTAAGGCTTTCTAGAGCCAATCAGTCTCTCGGTTTGGGGAAACGGGTAGTGTTTCCGGCTGAGCTCCTGTGCCTTTTCTGATGATCGTTTTTTAACAGTTGACATCTTTGAGCCGTTTGTGAAAAAGGGGCTACTTTACATATTCATATTGAAAGTTAACGTATGATGAGTATTTTCTTACAAGATAACTGCAGGATTTTTCCTTTAAGGGATGATGAGTTCTCAACGCGGAAATACTCAGCGAAGCAGGCCTCAAAAGTATCAGAATACAAGTGCCTTCAAAAACAATATGCATGATACATCAAAGAAAACTGCATTGTTGAACCAGTTAGAAATGGATGGATTATGTGCAAGGTGTGAAGCGATAATCGAGTGGAAGATAAGATATAAGAAACACAAACCTTTGACTAAACCTCGAACCTGGTATGTTTTATTTTTTTCTGTTGCCCTAACCCATAGCCACGTAACTTTCCATAATTCCTTCATAGCTGTCATGAAGGCAATGTCAGATTTGCCTCTGAAAACCATTATAATTATGTACTCGCAATCTTGCTTTTCAGCATTAGATGTGGTCAGCGAAGTGTTAAGAGGGCTTACTTCACCACGTGTGAGCTCTGCATTTCTGCCTTTAATACATGTGGAAAATGCGGTCAGGAGATTAATGCCGTTCCTCCTTTGTGAGTTTGCTCCTTGAGCAAGTAATCATCTTCTAGACCCGCCCTTGAGCAAGGTGAGATCAACGAGCACTCCGAAACGAATTTCGTAAAAGTTTGCTAGAGGGAATCGCGTTAGCTACTAGTACTTATGCCCACCGGTTACGGTGGCCTTTTAGTGAGGAATTTGTTTCAGATACTCAGAGGAGGTGTGGTGTGCCTGCACCATATTTGGTGCTCACTACCCCACTCTACTATTTTGTAGATATTTGACTCCTCTGTTAGGCCCTTCGTGTTATGCCCTCAGTAATCTTCTTATTGTTCAATCACTGATTGCAATTCAAGAAAACCTACTACTGATGACGGAATTCAAGACGAATAAATCCGATCACAAGGCCGCGGAATATGCAGTGAAAAACCCCTTGGAGGAGAAAACGCGATCCTCGTCAGAATACAGTGTTAACTCGGGTGACGAATCCCAATAGTAGGCTCCACTCGAATGCCCATTGTGCCCTTCTTCATCGTAAAAGAATCGGTCATCTCTTTATCTGCCTGCACTTTATTTTCATTTAACATATCATTATGGTAAATACACACCCACACAGAACATATGAGGGACTAATTGATTCGAAAATTAACCCGCAGAAAAGTTGGCTGCAGATGAGAAACGCACGACTGCTGACAGTTCACGTTGGCATGATAAGTTTGAAAGAGAGGTCTGACATTGATCGCTAAGCATTAGTCGTACGGTGAAGGGTTGCCTGAATGATGAAGGGTGAGGTTTTTACAATGGGATGAATCTGTACGTCTTGAGGGGTCGATGGCCCTATGGAACAGGCGTTCGAGGATCGTAAAGAACGGTGTTCGATCCGGTCGGCGTCGAAATTTGGAAATGTCCAGCTTGCAGGGTGCTGGCAGAAGTGAGCAAGTGCGCTTGACCTGGATAAAACCAAAGTTAAGTCAGACTGATAGAAAACAACAGCTCAGAATTCTACAAAAGAATTAGGGGGTGAAAAAGCGCCTCACGCCGCGTATACGCTCTAGGCGTGAGAATACAGTAGAGGGCAAATTAACTAGGGACCTCCAAGAGCCCAGCATCCATTGGGGAAGACTTCACCAGCACCGATGGGGGCTGCATTCACCAACCCAGCGACAGCGCCACAGGGCGACTGGGGAAGGACCGTAGCGGCAGCGATCATTCCACCGCCAACTCCAATAGTTTGGTCAGGGACTGCGGTGGCGGCGGCAGCACTGGAGGGAAAGAGGAGGGTGGCACCGGGGCCGCCCACCGCAGCAGTGTTTGTAGCCACGAAGGCACCCCGACTAGTGGAGCCCGGATCGGCCGCAATGACTGTGGGTTGCGTCTGCGAGCCAACTACAGCAGTAGTCGACCCCACGACATTAGCGAAGTACATTTCAGTAGGCGACTTGGTGTGGGAGCCAGGTGGGGGAGCCGGAGGATAACCGGTATAGCGGAAGTGCGGATTTTTCAGGTCCAAGTGATTCGTTATCTATTCGAGATAAGTGAATCACAATAAAAGCGCCTACAGTACTAACGCGCCAGAAAATTATCGTTGCAATCAAGATGCCTTCCACATCAGATTGGTGTACCAGGCAGCCAAAATGAGGTTACATCAAACTGGATGGGCGAACGGGAAGTCGCTTGCGTTCAGAGGGACTGAATCTGCCTGTCAAACGATAGTACATACCTTTGTATCGCTGTTGGGAACCACTAGTTCGATTTCAACATCGTAGGACTGCCGCGTGTTAGCGACCATTTTCACGTGACCTGTCAGAATCTGGCCCTCTTGTACAAACAACGCGGTACCCAGTAAACACCGAACCTAAAGAAAATAACACCCATCAAAATCATAAAGTGCATCACAGTAATTTTTTTATAATTAACTGCAAAAAGCAAAACTTAGAATATCGCATTTGATTCCTGGTCACCAAGGTTTCTAACAGACGAAAGGATCGAAAAATGTTTTCGGCCAAAATAAATACTAAAGAAAAGGCAGATTTAGGGTGTTGAACCAATTAATAGTCAAGGTTACTACAGCGCAGTCGCAGTGGAAAAATGAGATTGTCAAGGTCTCTGTTACCACATAGAAGATGAAAAGATACCTAGCAGGTGAGATAAACGCACCTGATACCAGTGTGTAAGTGGTTCGGTTGGCGCTGTTGACAACCAAACATCGGTCTGAGAGCCCAGAAAACCAACGTCGAACCAAAACGCCAAACCATGTATCTAAAGCACCGATACGCTACCACTCATCAGCTGAGCATTGTATAGAATAAGCTAAGGATAGTAGAACATTCACATTTTAATTAGTGGCGTGGTTCAAGTATTTTGTGAGGGAAATCGTCTAACTACACTACATAATATAACTTTGCTGGTAAGGATAAAGAACAACACAGACTGTTTGAGGAACTTGGACAAGATGTGTCCAAAACTTACAGTTGAGCATTGACTGATGTGGAAAACTAATGGGATTTCAATGTTGGCGAGATCAGACTCGCTAACAGTTCGGAAGTCGACATTATGGACACAGGGTTCAGTCACAGGACAGATACTTATATCAAACGTATCCACGACCGGTTGATTAAAGTATTCTTTGATCGCAGCTCCGCGCAATGCACTCAGATCCATCCCATGGAAGCTCTATTTAATACAACAATATTAGGCTCATACAGATCCAGTTAGTAATGGTCAAGGCACAAAGCAAAGTTGAAGATCGGGGAGGTAAGGAATAACTTGTTGTTCATCACCATCTAATAACTGAAAACGCAACATCGAGAGTTAAGACACAAACCTGTTGATACCAGAAGTTGGCTTTCGTATACAATTCTGCGAAGAGGGCTTCATCAGAAAATGGCGCGACAAACATTTTACCAACAGAGGGAAACATGACACCGGGATTTGGCTCTGCGAAAACTTCTCCGTCCCAATTCTGGTAATTTTTGTTTACGAACGCGTCCCCCATCTCGGAATCAGAGCTGCCATTTTCACCAGCATCCCTTTTCCGCTTTGCACGGTGTTGAAAAGCAAGAAATTTGCGAGCATGCACGTAGGTCTCCAACATCCGTTCATTGTAGAGCATGTAGCCCATCGGCTCGGATACTATAACATCCACCGGTTCGGGTAGAGTAATGTCCTCTATCTTGCCACTACCAAAACAGACGAATTTGGATGGATGAGCACAGATATGGATAAAGGAATGGGTGCTTGGTGTGCAAGAGAGATAGTAGATGACAGTTCGGATAAGCTATTTTACTTTATACCAAACATTAAAGGAAAATAACATACCTAACAACCACAATTCGTCCGGCAAGCTTGTTGGCTTTCACGAGGACTTGGCAATGCTCAGCCATATTTGATGCTTCCACAGCGTAAACACGCTTTGCCCCAGCTTGCACTGCGAAAAACGACAGAATACCTGAACCAGCACCTACATCGAGAACAACTTTGCCGACGAAGTCAGCTTTTGAATTCGCTAGGATGGCACGCTGGTACGTAGACGTTCGAATATAATCCTAGAACAATTCATATTACTAGATGCTTGAGAAGTTTTACCTGCATCATATTTTGTTGTTGGCTGAGATAGCTGTAAAACTGGAAATACTGAACAGCTGACCATGAATCAGTCCTTTCATCAAACACGGACCCATGACCACATTTACTTAATTCCTTTGTGTTATTGTCAGAAATCGTATCCTATATGTTGGTTAATCAGCATAAAAGCCAACCATAAATCTTGAAATCTCAACAGAGTCGCTAAACGACACTAAGTACAGGGTATTGGGGTCATTAACGTCAATAAATACACTTTTGCCGAGGCAACGAATACATTGGCTGGGCTTAACATTTAATTCCAAAATAATTTGTTCATTTCTGAAGTGTGTTATAAGACAAACCCTTACTTAACAAAGGACAAAACGGTTTCATGAAGAGACTGCACTGCAAGACACAGCTCACGTTCGATCAATTCACAATGAAATGCTCCAGCCGTCAACTTCCGCAGATCAACGTTTTTAAATTTGAAAACCATGAGTACGAGCCCCAGCAGAAGTCGCCAGACGATAAACGAATCCTTAAAATAATGCGGGTTCCGTGACAAAGAATAAAACGACCAAAATAACGCAGGAGCCCAAGACCATAAGAGAAATATACAGTTGTTTAAAAGCAATTAATAGTCATAAGAACTTGCTTGTATATATTTTTTTGTTCGAAAGCCTTTCCTTTTATAATAAATAAATGCAATCCCACATAGGGAATAGAGTGCTAGAACATGTTTGCAATATTTTATGATGTACGAGCTTTTTTAAAGCTACGGTGCTTGTTGCTCCGATTTCTACCCTTTTTGCCCTAGATTTTGGAGGGCTTTGTTCAGTGATTATTTTAAACCAGGCCATATTCGCCCTCATTACATGAGTATTTTGAACCTCCTGCAGTGTTTAAGATCTTTGCTGAGATAGCCGTAACTTAAAAGAGCATGAGAGGAAGTATATTATTGGTGTTAAAATGGCTGAGAGGTTGATAATATTTATTTAACACTGCTCAGTGGAGAGGGAGGACGACCCAGGAAAAATGAAATGGCCGTTTTGCTTAACACATGGTTAAACAAAATATCACTTTACTGCACTTTCCTTAATCAGTCACCTGTGGCAACCCTGACAGCTACAACGTAGTCATTACTTCGACATCAACTCGCTAGCCAGCAGCAAAAGTCTTTCAATTTCAATGCTGCCCCGTCACCTACTTAGGCCCCATTCAGGCGGTGCAGACTTGGCCGAGATACTGCTTGGTCAATTAATTAACCTCTCTATATGGACACCGTAGACTGCTCCATAATAGACTTCGCCAAATGGCTTAAATCTAGTTGTAGCGTCCCGAGACTGCCTGAAGACGAAAGACACAATACTCGGGCAGAATATATACCCAGCGCAGAGAAGGTGTCTGGGCTATTGGCATGACCCAAAAGGCCAGCCCACCCAGCGAGGTACAAGAGGGGTAATTCAAAGTACAAAAGTGGCGCCTCACCAATACCGAGGGACAAACCACTATCGTATTACAGAGTTTCGCTTCAGTCATTGGTACCATTCTTGCAGAAGGTGGGATTGAATTAATTGCTGAAGGTGGACGCGATTTACAGCACTTCTTTTAGGCGTCTCCACAAATTCACTTATTTAGAGCAGACGTCCTTTATCTGTGGAGCTAAGGTTCTGTATTTAGCAGTAAATGTTATCGTAGTTGTCCTCTGGAATCGTATTTGCCTGCTGCTGCCAAAATAATGTGGAAGGAGACACATTAATATCGTATGGATAGTTTGGCGTCTACTAGTTTGGTCTGAAGACAAGTCGAGGAGTGAAAACACAATCTACGACAGGTGGGGTGCTCCGCGTAGTTCAAAGTATAGCTTGACAAAATACCACCTTACTTCACCTACAATCGTCCTTAGTCTTATTTTTCTATGTTAGCTTCTTTAAATTCAATTAAATTCATTTTATTAAATCGTGCTTAATTTAGGAAATGGGGGAAGGATTATGGCCTTCATTTGTCGATGGAATTTTGCAGTTATACTTTCCCAAAGGGCACCAATTATATCGAAGTTGTATTTTGTTGAATCATATCAAAATCCCATATTTTACTTACTTCTTGAAAAATTGCTTTGGTAGTTTATTCTTACCATGGCGACCATTGGAAAGTTGTCCACTTGATCAATTTTATTTTTGCTGTTTTTACTTCAAATGCTCAATCGCATGGACATCAATGAGTGCCTTAAAAGGATGATGAGTTAAACTGCCTATTTTATAAATAGCTTAAGTCAGTCTTAAGAATGTTTCTTCGGCAAGCTTTATAATTACATCTAGTAAGTCTTGATATTAATCACGATGCCCTTCGCTGTTATCATGACTGCATTTTATACTAATTGACCTGCTCTGGCTTAAACACGATGCACTAACCTAAACCCCATATTTGTTTAAACTTTCGACATTTACTAAGGGTATAATATCCCCATTCTAACTATTAGTTTATTAATTTTTACCTAGGCAGTCAATTTTTTACTTCATGTCCCATGCGTTTCAACTAATCAAAATGAGGTACAATAAAGTGCATAAATTCGTCTGTGATTTCCAAAAGTTACGATGTTCTCTTTTAAAGCAGGTAGCGTGTTAACCTGAATGTTTTAAAGTGTACAAAATACTCCCCATATATTAACCGTATTAGCCCACTTTTTGCAGAGAAATTCATTTTGCCCGGGGCGTAATATTTTGAGCACTTTAAGTAAAGAGATCCAATATCTCCTAATACTCTTTTTGAAAAGATTTTTGGAGGGATTATACAAACAATAACCCACGCAACTGCACTAAAGGAGTCTTTAGTTGTTAACCTAAATCTTTTTCGAGTGCGTCAGTTGCTGCATTGCAATACACGCCTGTTTGAATGTGCCTTTCGGGTTAGAGGCTGTGGGTAAATACAATCCCCGCGGTGGATCGGGAGCTATCGGACCCCGAGGAGGTGAAAAAGCACCCTGAACATGCTTAAAGCGTGGTATCTCCACCCCCTTAGCCATCACTACCCCATGAAGCGTGCCCTCGCTCACCGCGTCCACTCGTTTCAGAGTAAAGATTGAAAGTGGAACAGAGCCTTTTGCAGCAGCACAGTAAAAACAGTTAAATTTAGTTTTCCGCACTTTCGGCAAAAAATTTTCTCAAGAGCTGGTAATTTAGTCCCGGCGCGGACTGCACTCTCAAGGTGGGGGCATAAAATTTTTTCATACTAGTGAAAAATAAGGCAATATTGAAAACTACACAAGTGAACTGAGAACGGTTTTTAAAAACGCGACGATTTTAAAGTCAAATCTACTTTTAAACAACTCAAGCTGATTGACATTTGCGGCCTTCTGTTTTAATAGCAAGTCTTAATTATAATGGACAGTGGTAAAAGCTCAAAAGAAAACAAAGCTTTTATATTCTTAGTACGGAAGGAAACAAAATGATTCAAACGTCTACACTTTCATCAAATCTTTAAAAGTACTGTGCAAAATGTTGGTACTTAGCCAGTTTTTTGAACAAATTTTTCTCGGATGCTCTCCTGCAGTTTACGGCCTATTTCCCTCTTTTAAGTTATGTCCTTGGAAAGCGGGGTGTCTGTACATTAGAATGCCATCTTTCATGCATCAAACAGTTTTGAGGATATGTGAATGAGCCTATGTCCTTCTTACACTCTTAGCGAGGCTGTTACAAGGCTAATAGGATATCAGTCAATGCCTTCTGATGCATGTGAATTGCTGTTTTTCACAATCATCTTGTTGCAAAAACGTTAAAATCTGAGTTCCTACGAGTTGTTTCAACTTGTTTTAGTCCTTTTCTGACTTTCATGACAGAAATTGGTATTAGTTTTAGTGGAATACTCTGATTACTTGTTAACGTTTTGTTTTGGTTTCTCGAGCATTTAAGACACCGCCCTTGTACTTCCGGTGAGCGTCCTGACCTCTGGTCCATTCCAGTAAAGGCAACCCTCTTTGAACGTCGCCAATAGATACTATGCTTAAGTCTTATCCTACTTTGTTTTCAGTGAAATCTCAGGGCGCTACATAGATAAAATCGCACAGTAGTAGTATGCATATAATACCAACCGGCTAAATTTCAACTTTTTTAAAGGGGTCTATAAAGAAAACCCTCAAAAAAAATTTGCTGCAGTTCACATCAGAAAATATTCTGTATTTACAGGAATGAACCCTAAAACTAATTATCTGCAGAAAACTATCACATGAATGCGTTGATTCACTTATTATGTCCCGTGTATTCTGCGACTGACTTAACCTGAAATGCTATCGTATGCTGGATGGTTTTGCAAATTCGATGTAGCAACTCCCTTCCAAATACTTGCTCTCTGAAAATACTTATAATGTTATGTACAGAAAGCCCAATTTAATATTTTTAGTCACTCGGATTTATTGTGGTGTAGTACGTGATTGTTTAAGTGTGCACTTTAAGCAATGGGCGGTCAGTAAATACGAATACAACACTATCGGTCCCCAAGGAGGAAACGAGTTACCCGTATCCTTTTATTTATCACTACACAACAAAGGATGCCCTCGCCCAGCTTGTCTGCTCGTTCCAAAGGTGTGAAGGCTGCGGTGGAAGAGAGAAACACCGAGCCTATTACGGTGGGCTACCCAATACGTCAAACACTTTGTGATACCAATGGCATTGCCACCGGCAAGCCAAATCCACTGTATATGAAAATAATAAAGAAATATTTCGAGGCTTTAGTGCATGATGCTAAAACTAATGAGGTGTTGTGCTTCTATGTAGTTACCGTTAATATAACGGGGCCTTTGTGTGTGAGTAAGTGAATCACTAGGGGTCAGTTATTTGCAAAATGCAAACAAAGGGCTCCAAAGTTGTTTAATTTTTCCTTTTATGTAAACAAGCAGCTAACTGAAATTCACAGTGCTGCAAGAGAGAGCTGCATTAGGGGAACTACTGACTCCTTTTTTCGAGACTTGGATCAAGCCCTTTTCCTAACATATTTAAAGCTTTCTTAAACTACCTTTTCAAAATAAACTAAGCATATTTTGCCATGATAATGTTCGATTCCACTCGAATGTATGTTAAAAAGGACTCTAGATTTATTCACCGCTCCATCTCACGAATTATGGGTCACAAATAACTACTTGAAGCGAGTTATGTACTGTGAATTTAATATTTTTGCTAAATATGATACAAGACAGCAAAGATGTTTCAATAACCAGAGTTCAGCAAATTAAAAGATCGGATTAGAAGTGCCGGTCACTTTTGAGGCGCTTCTTGAGTTTCATACGCCTGTTCTGGAACCAAATTTTGACCTGTGTCTCGGAGATCCCCAGCTCACTGGCAATCTCGTCGCGGCGCGTTCGAGTGAGGTAATGGGAAAAGTGAAACTCCTTTTCCAGCTCCGTCAGTTGATGTGTGTTGAAACTGATTCGCGATGCTCTGTTGAGGAATTTCTCGTAAATAAGGTGGAAATTAAAACGTACTTTTTCGGGGCCATTTCACTGTTCCCCTCATTGTTATTGGATTCGGAAACTTCGGATGGTGAAACTAAAAATTTCAGTGAACTCTTTCTGTAAACCCGTTTTGGCCCAAAGGCGTTTATTCCACTCCCATTTACCACTGTGTTATGTGTGAGTTGACGAAGGCCTAGCATTATACGACAATTCTACCACAATTCCGGCCATTTTCGGAGGTACAGCAATCTTCAAACATGGTTAAACGTATATTCTTTATTCAAACTCAAACTAGTGTAAATACGAAGAGTTCATTTAGCCTAATTACTTAGGTAACTCTCCGTTAATGCAGCATAGGTTAGTCATTTTAACAAATGGCTTCAGTTTATTACATTGGACGCCAAAGCCTCCTGTAAATTTCTTCGTCCCACGTGTGAGTTTAGAATATCTCCACATCAAATAAAATTGGCCATTTTAAGCAGTTCAATTCGCTAAGAACTGGCCTTTGGGCATCCAAAGTGTAGACTTCACAACCATGCAGGTGGATAATGTTACATACTTGGGCTGAATTCCTGCCTATAGTGCCTTCCTGTTAAAAAGCGGTCATGAAGGCTCGGTGTCTCAAACCAAAGCAGGGGATACTTTTACGACCACCTCCAGAGTTCTTATACGTCTACTCAATGCTTTATAGTTAAAACAAATTTTAAATCCCATAAAAAGTCGAGCCGTGCTCTATAAAATAGCTTACAATCTATGGTCGGCAGTCATCTTGACACAGAGTGTAAGGTTAATATTAAGTCTGCGAAATATTGCGATTTTCCGCACATTTTTCGGCATAAACTCTTGTATTGCAAAAAACTGGCTCAGGCTAAATAGTCTACTGAATTAGTGATGAACTTATTCTACGTTACTTAGAGACTATTTTGACATACTTTAAAACCTAAAAAAGGGGTAAATCCATGTTTTAAATGGGTGCTAGATGTTAACAAATAAGGGTATGCGATTGTGGAATAATAAAAGTCAAAATGTAATAACGTTCCTGCATAAAATTATAAAAAAAACTAGCAGGTCAATACATATGTTTATCTTTTAAAAGAATCAATGTATTTGTCACCGTGTGCTCACCCGATTTTGACTTGGCAGGCAAGTGTTGAGGATAAGGTGGGAGATTTCCCGTAAATTTCTTCTCGATTGGATCCTCTAGAGGAGCATCGCTCATTATAAAAGTAGAGACAAAGGTCCCATTGTTAACTGCTCTTTTATTTAGGGCCGACTAAAGGCAATAATGTGATTGGATGAATTTTAGCATCTCACATGCAACCCTACACGAATGATTTTGGTCTATGTAATACGTTGGTTGTTTACTTAGCCCTCTTTTTTGATGAAGGGGTTACATGTGGTTCCCGCCATCGCACCTCCGCCGGGTGGACTAGACTCCGGTTCATGTCAGTAGGCCCCAAGCCCATCTGTAGGTCGATAATGCAATTTTTACCCAGGTAATGCGTCTTTTTTTACCCTCAGGAAAACCTCAGAGAGCTACATTAGTGGCAGCAGAATGAGAATTCCATCTTAAGGGACATCTACTCCGAGTTCTGCTACCGGATAATAAGCCTTAGAGAGGAGGTAGAGCCGCATAAGCTGCAGAAAAGAGAATCGGTGACAACCCCTAAAAGAAAACTAAAACTGACGTCTAACTTTGACAACTGCCTCTGCAGGAAAGCTACTAAAAAATAAAGCAGCTCTAGCCGTGAACCATCTGGAAAATTACATTACAGTTTTGCCCACAGTACATACATAAAGATATAGAAAATGTAAACTGGCCATACCTCCTCCACTTCACTACTAGCTCGACAGGCCCCAGCTAAATGTGCTTGAGCCGCTCTGAAGAACAACTTTGCAAGGAGGTATAGAAGAGAAACCCTTCCCTCAAGGAATTGTTCAATTCCATCCTTTTTTACGTGATCGCTTTTAGGCCAGTGTTTTGTGACTATGGATTTTTGTAATGGCCAACACATTTCCAGTGTCTGAATTCGGTTTCCACAGAGATCAAAGCTCCAGATGCAACAGAACTGCCAAGAGGAATCATTGACACTGTAGTTAAGTATCTTCACAGTTGAGTGGAAATTTGATGACTGACAGGATTTTTCCTTACGGAGCAGATTAATAAGTGATGACTGGCTTGGGAAGTTGAATAAGGCTAGCACCACGAACGACACTCGAAGGAGGAGAGGACCACGTAATGGGCCAGCTGTTTAATTTTCAGTTACGGTTAAGAGGCCATATAGGTGTCTTGCCATTGCAACTTCGCCATATTGTACGTCGATACTATGTATCTTGCTCTGATACTGTATTTTCTATTGTCTCTAAAAAGTTGAAACGCAACAACTACTGAGGGAAGCAGACTTACGTATAATATTCAGTCTGAATTGTACTTTCTTTTAGACGAAGAGTATTCTTGAAGGCAGACCATAGCTTACCAAACCTTATGCACAAGGAATTAAATAAACACCTTAAAATTCTAATAGGCTTTGTGCTATTATGGAAAACAAATCATACAAGAAAGCAAACATTGGTCAAACTTAGAAAATTGACATATGGTGTAATACTTATTTTGTTTTAATGTGCCCTTCAGGGAGGAGGAATCAGGAACTACGAATCTCGTGACCGGATCGTCCTCTCCCTTACCTTGTGACTGCGGCTCCTCTCCTTCTTGAATATTGTATTTTCCCTCATACATCTTGTCACCTTTAATAAAGATGTCCAGCGCAAGTCAACCGGGCTTGTCTAGGAACGCTAGGAAGAGGGAAGCGGAGACCGAGGAGTCTCGCTTCACAATGGCTCTCCTAAAAGTCATTCACAACAACAACAAATGCTCACTCATTTGAGCAAAAAATAAGACAAACATGAATTACTCGTTAATAAATCCACTACGTTGGTTGTTTGACTCTCTGATTTGGTGAGGAGCCACCTTCAACTGGGCCACTGTACTAAGCCGGTGGGGCTGACCTTTGGGTCATGCCAGTAGCCCTAGTCCCCAATGTGTGTCGAGTACACATATTCTGACCCAGCATTTTCTCCTCTTTCGTCCTTAAGGAAGTCTCAAGATACTTCATTAATGCCAACTGGTCCTGTTATAAGGCTTTATTCTCGGATACCCTTTAAGTAGGTTGATTTAGGCACTCTCGTGTCGGTCGTTGTCGGTGATGTTGCACTTGGCTTTAGTCCCCCTTAAATTAATTTAAGTTTTGCTCCTCTAACGTAAAACATCTGTAGTATGCTTAACACTCCTTGAAAATGTGCCTAGTTTGGATTATAAAAATCGAACGAATCTGACCTTGAAATGTGTTGTTCTTCACTACTAATCCCTTCCCGGCTTAATTGTAATCTGTGGTGTTGTGTTCGCGGTTTTGTGTAATGGAGTTTCTCTTGGGTGATGTGTCTGACTCAGACTTTTTAATCAATTATCAACTTGAAAACCAGATTGGACTTGGAAGTCTCCCTTTTCCCACAATGAATAGTACGCCTGTATTTTCTTAAACTTCTCCCGTAGAAAGTGGATCAGGTGTCTGTACATTCTTCCTTACAAACTCTTGTCGACTAAGCACACGATGTCCATTTCGTCATATTAAAGGCGATAAAACTGTTGTTTGCAAGCATTGGCTACGTGGCCTTTGCAAGAAGGGGGACGATTGTGATTTTCTGCACGTGTACGACATGACTAAAATGCCAGAGTGCTACTTCTTTTCAAGGTTCGGTATGATTCCTACATAGGTACGTTATTCGCTTGGTTAAGGTGTGTGTATGAATAAGGAGTGTCAATTTCTGCATGTGGATCCAGCCACAAAGATACAGGATTGTGCCTGGTATGCTCGGGGGTTTTGTCGAAATGGTATGCTTTAACTCTTCTTACAATCGATGTCTAGGTCCAGCCTGTCGCAATCGTCACGTACGGCGTGTAGCCTGCCAAAATTTTATAAACGGCTTTTGTCCAGATGGCCCTGACTGCAAACAGGCGCAGTATGTATATCCTACTTTGCACTATTATTTTTTTAGTCCCAAATGGTGGCCGCTTCCTGGATCTGATCAAGAACATCACAAACAAAAATGGATTTGTCATCATTGCAGTAGGTTTTCAACTGGTTTTTTTTTCCTCGCATCATCCAAGTAGCTCATTTTCAGTGTTCATATAAATGCGTACATTTCAGTGCTTATGTGCTTATGTGTCGATACTTAAAGCACTTCGTTAGGGTAATCTATAAATCCTCCCGTTTTTTGATATCTCTGTTTCGTACACGGTTTTGCAATGTTAGTAAAGGTTTTAACACTGGAATGCATCCAATGTACCCTAAGCATCGGTTTTTATGGAGCACTAGTCCCTTAAAGCGGAATTTCTCAAGGAATGAATAACGCATACCATAGCGAATGGCAAAAACTCAGTACACGGTAATCCTCAACAAAATGCTAGCATCTTAGAATAGGTTCGTGCCAGGACATTTTCCTTTCTTTCTCAGCCTCCCCTAAGGCAACTGAGCTGTACGTGAGCACCGTTATGCTTGCTATCACAGATTATTGTGTCTGGCTACTTTGTACTCATTTTTTGTCTTGCAATTATGAATGAACTCTTGTGTTACAGAGGAGAGAGGCCACAAGGTTCAGTTCTGCCATAAACTGCCTTTGGAGGAGCGCCAGCGATTGCAGGAGCAGTCGTCACAGCGCTATCAGCCGCCCTTTCCATCTTCGAATCAGCCCCTTCTGGGCAACAATTCTGCCTTCTCCCAGGGACCACCTGGCAGAGGCAATTTGGCGGTCAATCCAAAGCATGGGAGCATGTCGGTGCAGCAGAAGCCATTGGATGAAGTTACCTGCTACAAGTGCGGTGACAAAGGTCATTATGCAAATAAATGTACCAAGGGATACCTTGCTTTCCTCAGCAAAGGCTCCAGTGAGGCTGCTCTCGGCATCACGCCAGGACCTTGATCTTAACTGCCTTTTATCTCTGCACAATCTGATACTATTTTTGTATACGTCTTCCCAGTTCTATCCGCGCGGGGGTTGGGGACGCGGTGGGGCCATCCCTCCTGTCGTGCTGGTGCGGTTAGCGTCATCGGTCCCCCTAGCTAACTGGGTTTGTGGGGTTGGGGTTTTGCTCCATCGTCCGGGTTGATCAGGGAGCTCGTTCCTGACTGGATGCCTTCACTTGATGTGAAAGTTTCTAAGCGTGTGGGGGCAACAAATCATTGGCATAAACCTTGTTTGTGTTGTCCCTTCGTTGGCGCTATTTGGATTGCTCCGCTTGTGCTTAGAAGAATTGATTTTCGATGCAATTCTTCTGTTGTGTTATTGGAAGTTGCGACGTGGACCCGCCCGGTTAGCGCCGTCGTTGTTGATAAAAAAGATGGCGTCTGGGCTCGTTTCCCCGTCCCGAGTTGTCGCCTCGGTGAGATCCATACCTCTGTCCCTAAGCACCACCTGTCCCAAATGCCTTAGTAACAAGGTCAAGCAACCACTTCCAACTCTCCCGTTCCCCCTCATTTCACGCGGTTATGGGCCACTTTTTTCAGTGATTAGTCGTTCGGTGGTGTCGTGCGGCATCGGGAGTACGTTCATTTCGAATACTTCATGTATCTAGTGCCTCAGCAGGTTCGTTTCTCTCACGTTGATGTCACAAGTGTCCCGAGTTTCGATGCACATCGCCTCAACTCTACCAGGGACCCGAAATCTCTTTCCTCAAAGACCGAGGTTAATCGGAAGGTCTTTACCTATACAATTGCATTTGGTAAGTATGATGTTATGATTTTTTTGTAAATCGTGACTTGTGAAGTTGGGCTATCTTCTGGTTTTAGCTGGTACAGTTCTAGCAACTACTTCGGCGAAATATGCAGTTAAGACGCTGATCCAAACTATTGGGCCTTCGGCCTCAACTCTGGCTCTTGCTAACTTGGAAGTGAGTTTGGCTTCCATTCCTGAGGGCAAGAATGTTGTTTTCAAGTGGAGAAATAAGCCATTGTTTGTACGACATCGAACTCAAAGTATGATTGATCAAGAGCGCAGCGTTCCACTCTCGTCTCTTCGCGATCCAGAGACCGATGAACAACGTGTAAAGGACCCAAAATGGCTCGTCTGTGTTGGTGTTTGCACCCACTTAGGTAAATGGTACAAGCAGCTGGCCTCCCTTTTCCGTTCTTGATTTAGATGAGAATTCTCTTAATCCTACAGGTTGTGTTCCTATTGCTGATGCCGGCGAATTCGGCGGCTATTACTGCCCCTGTCACGGCAGTCATTTTGATTTTTCGGGACGGATTCGAAAGGGCCCAGCTCCGACCAATATGGAAGTGCCTAGCTACAAGTTCATTGATGAGAATACTATCCTAGTTGGTTAACTTTGAGGTGTCCTTCTCGACCACTTTTGAAATTCCCCAAGGGGCCTGTGACTTCACACGACCATTTCGTTTTTTCTTCATCAGAGCTTGAGTGCTGACTTTGTTATACGAGTGCCATTAATAAGACTATTCGCAGCTGTTTTTTCTCACTGCTACTTCGTAAGATTGGTACTTTGGAACTGATCGCTCAAGTGCTTATAAACGTTGTTCCTGCCTGATTTTTGCTTATTTGCCAACGAGATGGCTGGTTGCGGTTCTTAATAAGCATGGTCTAGTTTTATTATTTTTAGTGTGTAGTTCTTTAAGGAGGTCAACCTCCGGTAGGTTTCGTTTGAGCTATTACCGGAGTTGGTCTCATGGGTTCGGGGTCCCTGCTTATCACTTGTGGGAGCGACCCACACCCCTTCTGTCTGTCATGCGGGAAAAAAGTAGATTGTGGGTATTTAGCCACGTTCTAGGGTTGGCTTCTTGGTACCTCGGCACTTATCTGTGCCTAAATGGGTATGCCTGGAGCCGGTTTTGACGTTTGAACACTTGATTACAAGTTCATTCATTACCATCTGGTTTGAATGGAAGTGGAACTCCCACTGGTGTCTTATTTTATGTTTTCCGGACGGGACCCTTCCAAAAAGGGTTGGTGATAGGTGTGAAATTCATGTTGTTCGGTTAATTCATTCCCACCTGATGCATAACGGAGTAAGACAGTAAGTGAAGCCGCTAATTGTCAAACGGCCGCAACCGTTGTCTTAGGAAGCTTGGGTCAAGAGAAAGCAGCTTGCCATAGTTATTATCTAACTTGCAAGGGCGTAACTGTGACTGTTCCTAGCTGATACTAAGGTTTCGACGTCATTGGGGCAATTTCTTGCCTCTAATAAGCACCGCTTACCAATACTGGTCAGGCTTGTGCATAACTTCCGTTATAAAAGGTGGTGTTGCCCTTACTTCGAGTTAAAAAGATTTGTTATGACCAATCTGGAACCCATTTAGACAAATAGTGAATGGTAATGTGCAACTGTAGTCATGAATTGAGAGGAGAAGAATATACATGGAGCAGCTTTGTGAACTACCATTTCTCCATCTGTATACGATCTGAAAATTTTGTACAAAGATATTCTGACACCTTTAAAACAACCAGATAGGTTCAATGAAGCAAAAGTTTTGAATTCCAATTAAATGCGTGGCAAGTGGAGAGCCGTGTAGCTTTGCACATCTGTGCTGAAATCGTCAAAGCTCAAGATAGAATGGAGGAACTTATATAAATAAGGGAAAAAGGGTCGGGAGGTTACTAACATTCCCCGGAGGTCATTTTAGAGAGAGGAACCACTACCTGCGGAGAATGAAGCATGCGTGTAGTTCAGCATATAGTTAAAAAAAAAAAACCAATTCACTGAATATCTCCTCGCTTTTTGAGTCATTCTCGCTACTCCCATTGACCATCCAACCGCTGCAACCTTGACGACCACAATGAGGTCAGTACTTTGACAACAAATCGCGAACCAGCAACACCGATCATGCAAGTTTTTGCATGTAAAAAGGCATTTCATTTCAACGTCGCTAATACATTCCGTCAACTCCACCGCATCCGAAGTCTTGTTCTATTCGTAAGGGAGAGTGCACCAACTTCAAACTACTCAACACCGAACCATGCTTTACCATGGGAACAACTCGGATGCCAGCCGGTAGTCGTAGGGATGTTGATCTAAAATCAGAGTCACATAGCAAATGCTAAAGTTTAAAAAGTTTCACTAAGCAAAAATTTCGCATCTATTCCTCATTACCCTATTCTTTCAATTTCAACACTCCCTCACCATCTGTCTCGGCTCCATTCAGTCGGTAGAGACTTGGAGGAGGTACTGCTTGGTCACTTGATTATCAACTTCATATTGGCACTGTAGACAGCCCATAATAGACTTTTCCGAATGGCCAAAGTCTGGTGTCTCTTTGGTAGTTAATACCAGTCTTACAGAACACGGGATTGAAGTAATTGCTGGGGGTGGACGTGATTTACAACACTTACTTTAGGCGTCTCCACAGATTGTCTATCCAGGGCGGATGTCCTTCTTCTGTGACGCCAAGATTCCGTGTTCGGCGGTAAATGTCATCGTAGTTGCCCTCTAGGATCATGTTCGCCCGCCGCTGCCACCAGCGCGACTCCCTGTGCTTTTCTCTAGATCGAAATAAATCAAAACAATGTCGAAGAAGATAGATAAACACGGAACAGAAGGAGTGAGGTTACTAACATGATCCGAGGATCATGTTGTGGAGCGAAAGTGTAACCTGCGGTAGCTGAGATGTCCGCGTAGTTGAACGTACAATTCACCACAGTACCAACTCACAACAATCGGCGCTGGAGATTAAAAAGACAAATTTGTGTTTTTTTTTTTGATAGCAAAGTTGAGTTTTTAACTGGTAGCGTAAAATGGCCATAATAAAGCAAAAATTACACCTTTATGAGAGCGGATTGATTACGTGACAAATTCCATTAACTGAATGCAGCCCAAAGTAAAATACAAAAGAACTTTGGGTTCCTTCATGACAGTATGCGGCCATTTAGACTCATTTCCATAAAAATTGTACGTACTGGAAGTATTTCACATTTTTATAATGGGAAACATGCCTAGATAAACTGCTATTATGCTGAGTTTGCCTGCAAATAATTGCTTGCTGCATGCATGAGCTTGGCACCCTTCCTTTGGACAATAAAACCCGTTAAGGTGCAAATCTTTGCAAGTATACTAACCTTCATTCTCCAGATATTTTGAGTTGCTGCTCAAAAGTGCCTTTGACACACGTCAGATATTCTAGTTACACATGCCTTACGCGTGGCACCAAGCAACAAGCATCACTGTGCTGTTTTTCTCTGCATATCTGTTTCACTGAGAAATCTGTGTCAATTAGTGCCATCAATTGGTACCATTCAGTTCTACCAATTCACTTAACGCCACTAACATTCACTTTCCAGTCGCTATAGATGTTCAAAATGAGAGACAATTGCATGGTTGGAAAAGGCGGCAGAGGACGAAATCAAAAGTGCTGCAGCTGTACAAGCATTCCTGTGGATGTTCAATGCACTTGTAAATAGAATAAACTACTGCACCGCCTATTCGGTAACTTAACTAGACTAGATTTGATAACGTTTCAAACGCCAAGTTTAGCTGCATTTAAAATAGCACCTTTATTTACTTAATTGACATTAAGTGTTTTCTCCGATGTCTCTCAGGGTCTTCTAAAACATTCTGCATAGCTCACATAAAACCTTCGTGCAAAATGTGATAACCGGTGCGAAAAATTCGTTTCCCTGTTTCTTGACGGTAACACATGACAGTTTTCTGTACAACTTTCAAACACTGGAATGACATACCTGAGAACGAGAAACGTCCTAAGGATGGTCTGCTACCATCGACCGTGGTCGGGTGATGCCAAACCGACCGCACGAATTGTCCACAAAACGTTAACGTAACACCACAGATTAATGACCACACCGTTTCGTGAGTGGAATGGTTTAGAACAACACTAATCAAACCTCACTTCTCATTCTTAGCGTATTCTTTGATTTATGTGCTATCGAGACTAAACAGCACGAATTTGGTCCAAAGTGTGTAAAATTGGTGGAACAAGGTAACTGCGAAAAGCAATAATTTATCCGAAGTAACAGAGATCTCATTTATACCCGAGGGAGTCATCGAATAGTCCAAGTAGGGTGAAGACTTGGACATATTTCCCTTTCTCTAGAAAAACTCAAATTTTAGAGCAAAAGTCTTGAATAAAGTCTATTCTCTAGTGCAGTTATAATCGAGTTTTGGACACCAATGTCAAATAAGAGTTGAAGAATCTACCTTACAAAGGCAATTCGAATGCATGTCCACCAAATTAGACGCTTCATACGTTGATACAGGAAGCACTACAGCGCCGCAACCATAAAGCAGAGGCCCATTTATACCCACACAAGAACTAGGCAAAAAACTAATAAATTAATGGTAAAAAGACGGCCAAGACCCAACATTTTTGCCTACTTAGCCAGTTCCAAATTAGGGTCTCCAATTTAACAGATACAATTAAGAAGTCAATAGCTTTTGCTGTCTCAATCCCTGCTCAGAGTGACTCTATGCCTATATCAGCCTAGGATACCGCAAAAGCACTCAGGTTTAAGATTTGAAGGGCTCACAGTCACTGAAGGAAATGGGCTTTTAAAAGGTCCCCACAATGTATGGTGGCTTTCGCCGTTGTAAACAATGTCACATTCCGGTCTCTCTCCGTTTTGGACAGATTAAAAAACCCTAAGTAGTAACCATCAGGGCACTTTAAAAATTTAAGACCCAGGAAGACACCTGGTTAGGTCCTCCTTGGCCAGCTACCTTTCACAAGACCTGCGCAGCTTAGAGCAAATGACTGCATGCATCCCCTGATTAGAACCCCTAGCATTGCTGTGTGGGGCATTTCTAACATGGGTGTCAACATACGAGACAACAGGATTTAAGACTAGACCGCATCCGCCACTGACGATTTCGAGAACGAAGTCAGGGCAAACCACTCAAGGCACATGGATTGCCACCCCAGCACTCACAGTCAGGTAGTGATGCTGTTCACAGGAGATTTTCGTCTATACAAATACATGATACAACGGTTCATGCCTGAATGCTCAACAAAATCTTGAAATGAGTTGAGTCCCACTGGAAATGTCTGGCAAATATGTGAGTTGGTCGGATGGTAACGTAAATACTACCAAGTAAAAGCAGAGTTTAAAGCTATACAAGGGTATGAGATCCAATGAACCAAGTAAGACGGCCTTAAGTTAGCTTTCACTAGCACCCTTTGGCAATGTCTAAACTAAAATGGCTGCAAGACAGCCTACGAAAGCAGAAAAAATGATGTGGTTGGACGAAATATATAAAGCATAAATCTACAATAATGTTCTGCAATTCACATGAAAAAAAAATTTGAAAGCACGACTGAGGATAGTTTTTTCTACTTTTGCCTGTCAATGCCTTTTGTGATGTCTCTGAAAACTTCATCCATGCCTTGGGAGCCATCGAGAGTAAGAAGCAAATTCCTTTTTTGATAAAATTCCAACAATCGAGACGTCATGTTGTGGTAACTCTCAAGACGCTTTCGAAGAACCTCTTCGGTGTCATCACTTCGCCGAACAAGTCTTTCTCCAGTGATCTAAAAACCACCCGATTTATGAATGAAGAGGGATCAGAATGGCAACTGAGTAGAATCATCGGAATATTCACGTACGTCATCAGTCATGGGAACCTTTGGAGGGTTGAAAGTTTCATGATAGGATCGTCCACTGGCCAAGTGAAAAAGCCTACCGCAAATCCGAGTTATGAGCAATTCATCAGCAACTCGAAGTTCTACAACAGCCGTAAGATCCTCCTTCCTCTTATGCAATAAATCGCTAAGCTGCAAATTATCAGTTGTCCGAAACGACTAGCAAACCTTTTCAGCTTGGGGAATCGTCCTAGGAAATCCGTCAAGAATGAAACCCTTTCGGCACTCGGGGCTGTCCAACTTCTGATCGATCAGTTCACATACAATGTCATCAGGCACCAGTTGACCCCCTTCCATAAGTCCTTTGACCTTATTTCCGAGTTCTGAGCCCGAGGACGTGATAGCTCTAAGCATATCACCAGTTGACAAATGACACACTTCATATTTTTTCATCAGACGGGACGCCTATAAGAATCTTTTAGAGGATAAACCCATATACTTGAGTGCCCTTCCCACAACCCGGTGGACCAATGAGTATAAGGTTGGTTTTGGATGCACCTTTCTCCTCAATGTTATGACCAAATCCAAGAAGGCTCAAAATACCCATTGTGAGTAACCCACGCTATCAACGAGGACAGCAGCAAAAAACGAAATGACGCAACGGAGGGAATGCACTGATGACAAAGCGCGATTGTCCATTAAAAGTGTTTCAAACTTGAGAATTTTTTGTTAGTGGGTTAATAACAGCTTGCTGATAAGTAGCTATAAGTGCTAAACCAACGCAAATGCCTATTAAAAGATTTGAGGATCCATAATATTAGCTACTAGTTTTAACAGTCCATCCAACCTAGCAGATTTCTATGCAGAAACAATTATTTGTATGTGTTATAGGCGCCTATTCACAAATAACGTAAGAAGTTAATTTTTAGGTGCTTGCAAACCTTTCCAATAATAAGGGTAAACACAAAATCTTTCCATCAGTGAAACACTTTTTGTTTTGGGCTTTTTAAGGAGGCATGTAGCTTGCCTGTTACTCTAATGTTGTTGCAATTTTTTCCGATTTTTTCTAAAAGCCTTACATTTAAAGTGTTTTTTAGGAAGCATGTCCCATTGGGATATTGTTTTATCATTTCATTGTTGTGATAATTGGCGAAATCCGCATAAAATCATCAATGTCAAATTTCTATTTATCAAAACATAGTCCGAAGCTGAAAGACCACCATCTCTAGCCAATTGTGATCCTCTTTCCTATGCGCTTAGTTTGTACCTGGGTCATTCGCTGCGGGATTCGGCGTAATTAATGAAATGGCTCTAGAAAAGATGGAACACGATTTTGCCGCCACTGTGGATGAGCAGATACCTGCTTTCAAATGTCTTGCAAAGGTGGGGTGGTCTTCTATGACCTACTCTTGATAGTGCGGCAAGATTGATGAGGCTTTAGAAAAGTGTTACGCATTGGAAAAACAAACGAGGACGGTAACTGTGCATTGTAGTTCACGTGCTATCTAGGCTTCTGATGCTATTTCTACTGGTCGTCTTCTTGTTTTCATTGTGGAAATGCTTGGTGATAATAAACAATGGCAAAAGTTGAACGAGCATTTAGTAATTATGTCGAAGAAAAGAAATCAATTGAAGCAAGCTGTTGCAAAAATGGTCCAGGCAGCGATGGATTATGTTGAAAGCATAGCAGATGAACAGGTGAAACTGAACCTTATCTCCACCCTAAGAACAGTAACAGAAGGAAAGGTATTTCGTGCGCATTTCTGCTTATCACGTTCCTAGATTTATGTCGAAGTTGAGCGGGCCCGTTTGACACGAATGCTGGCTCATATTAAGGAATTTAATGGTCTCATAGATGAGGCTGCCGATGTGCTTCAGGAAGTCAAGGTGGAAACGTTTGGTTCTATGGATAAACGCGAAAAAGTTGAATTTATATTGGAGCAAATGCGACTTTGCTTAGCTAAAAAGGATTATTCTCGCACACAAATTTTAAGCCGTAAGGTCTCACCAAAATTCTTTCAAGAGGAGGGGACTGAAGATCTAAAGCTCAAATTTTACAAACAAATGATCGAAGTCGACATTCAGCACGATGCCTACCTGTCGATAAGCAAACATTTTTGGGAAATCTATAATACGAAGTTGATACAAGAAGACCCTGATGAGAAAAGAAGCGTAATTTCTGTTTCCTTGTATTTACTTCCTAGGCTCTTTGTAATATCGTCGTCTACCTTATACTTTCCCCATACGATAGTGAGCAGAACGACTTGATGCACCGTCGGATGAAACTTCGTGACCTTGAGGCTCTTCCTGAGTATCTGTAGGGTGTTTTTTGTGTTTGCAGTGCATATTTCATTTTTTAAAGCCCTCGGTGTAATATGCCTAATTTTTTTCCATGCGAAGAAATCAAATCAACTTTATCAATATTTCTTTTGTGGGTTTTTGAAGTGAATGACCATCAAACACCTCAAGTCCTTGACCTCTGTCTTTTTAGGGATATGCTTAAGGCATTCACCACACAGGAGCTTCTTAATTGGCAGAACTTCCGTGAGAGTCACGAAAAAACTCTACGATGTGAGACACTGGCCTTCTGCAGTTCTACTGATTATCAAAGACCGGAAAAATCCTTCAAATCTCTACAGGAGCGTGTCACTGAACACAACATTCGGGTGATATCCGCATATTACACCCAGATACGTCTCGCTCGTTTGGCTGAGCTCTTGCATTTGGATGTTGAGGTGAGTCAGTCAGTCCATAACCATCATCACGTGTTTATCAATCACTGGAATGTTTAATGACTTTATACCCTACTATTACCCTGTCACGGACTTGGGTAAACCTAAGTGGAATGGAGCAGTATCAGCAACTTTTACGCTAATCTACCTGTGCTCACTGTGGTCGCTTATTCGCCTGAAAGACCCATCATTTTCGTTTTTTAAGTGGTTGAGACACGACTTGATGCCCAAATGATCAGTGTCGTGTCCGTTTGCGGTTTTTTATTTTTTTACGAATGTAAACTTGTTTACTCTAGGAGGTTTTTCAAAAGCCTAAACGGTGAAATTTTGAAACTTGTCTTGAAACTCGCTGTACAAACCATTGGAGACACTTTGCGTATGGTGATGGAATTTCCCCACTATCACTTCTTTTTGGCTTATTTCTTTTTAAGCGCCACTTATAGGCTGATTCGTTTAACACGTGCTACTTTGATCTAGTGGTAGTAATTTATGTGTGTACTTTTGTAGCAATTATTTTTAATAATCGGGAGCAAGTAAAACGGTCCACTCGGCTCACTCAAATGGATCACCTGTATGTTATTCAGGATTTCCTGCCTGCACTCAGTTATATTCACCGTTGGTGTTAGTGATTTTTTTTCCTTATATGGTTAAAATTTTGCATTTCTTTTAGGAAGCCGAAGAGTGCTTGTGCAAGCTGGTGGTGAACAAGACTGTTCAGGCTAAGATAGATAGGCTCGACACCGTTGTGCGCTTCACTGAAAGCAAGTTGGCAACTGATGTGCTCAACGATTGGTCTCACAACGCTACCTCTCTTATGTCCCTCATTAATGAGGCCACCCATCTCATTAACAAGGAGCGGATGGTTCACTCTGTGTAATCTATTTGATAAGTGGCGCGAGTTTCTTATTTTTCACTTCTTTCCATTCCTGATTTCACACGGGAACTTGCCGAGCATAAACCAGTTGGCATCTTAGATCTGTTCAAATCTCTACTTGTGCGTCTTCGGAGAATAGCACCAGATGTATTTATTGCAAGGGCGCGAGGCATTCGAGGTTGATCCCTGTTCATTTTTCAGGGCATAATTTGTAGAGAATGTTCTTTTATCAGAAGGATCATAAAGGATTTTATGAAACAAACTAGGAACTTGTTATTTTAGTTTCTCTAAGGATGGGCACGTTGATAGCTGTAAACGGACTCTTGCTTCCATGAAATAGATTTGTGGTCGAGGAACCGACAGAGGTTCTCATAATGCTTTTAGGACAGGAAGTTATGCATGCATACTTGAGTGGTGGGGAATTGTATGCAAAATACTCTAAAACAAGACTAAAACAACACTATTGGTGTCAGGCGAGCACGCAGGACTGTCGTACAGGCGCCAACAAAAAATCACGCAACAACGTCCAACTCCTCGATGGAGAGTGTGAAGACAATAGGCTGGGTACTTAGAGGGCATCTTTGAAAGCTAAAGATAGTTCAGAGAGCCCCTAAAAAGAACAAAAGAGCACAGCTAAGTCGAAGGTTTATGTTTGTTGATTTTAAAGTTAGAAAAGAATATATAGCTAAATTTCGAGGTGGGAGCTCACAGCATACCTCATACTTCATCGTTAGGTAGACCTCTGTATTTCGGAATAACCGAAGAAACACTGGTAGCCACTTAGTTTCCTTCCGTCCCAAAGTGAACGACGTTCGCATGCGCCCCTTTTTTACGTAGTGGTCGAAGATAAGGTCTACCTCGTCAACTAAATCTGGGTCTTGGCTAGAATCTACACTAACAAGGAGGAAGTTCATCTTCTTTGCTTCATGGTAGTCGCATCTGTCAAGATCGGGTGCCGCCGGCACGTTGGTTACCCAGAAGGCGGGGAAATAATCCGGGTGGATGGTGGCGACGAAGTATTTTCCACTCGTCAAGAGTCGGAAATAATCACCTTTTCCGTCTAGATCCCAATAAAAAATATGGTGATAGGAATTTGAGATTACAAATACGCATTTATCGAACCCTATAAAGTGCCAGAATCGTAAAATCCCATGGTCGGAAGTGTGGCGATCATTTGCAAAAAATAGCCTAAATAGAAATTTAATCCCTACAGCATTCTGCGATTCTAAGGTTTGAGCTCAAAATAAAGCATATGGATGCAACCAGACTTATAAATAGCGTTTTGATTCCAAATTCAGAAGTGTCACAGCGCATTTATAAGCCAATGAAGAGAGTTAGTGTGAGCTAAAATCCCCGACATTTGATTACCAAAGCTAATGGTGGTGATGGAGATCTTTTAGCACGCAATAAACCGCGACTTACTTGAAAAAATGGCATGGTCGATTATTTTTGGCTTCTTCTCATCAGTAATGTTCATCGCCAAAGTAATTGAACCAGGAAGGGGCATGACTTTGCCATCCTTATAACCGAAAGTGAGACCCTTGATTCCTGAGTGAGCCTGAAAGGGTTACGGTCGTCATCCATAAGCGGTTTGGATTCTCCACGTCACCCTTATTCAAAGCATTAACATACATCTAGTAAATGATAGGGTTCAGAAACGAATACCCAGTTTTGTGCGTCAATTTGACCAATACGCGTATGGCAATCAAAGAACTTCTACTAAAATTCCTTGGAAAATATTATTATAGGCAAAATAGTACCTGGTGTTAGAGCAGAAAGGCAATGTAAATACACGTTTGCCCATTGCAGAGACCCATATGATAGCAAACATTTGTCTTCACAGTGGAAAAGGGCACAAATCTCAGTGTTTATGCAAGCACTGATGTCAAACTTTGGTTGTTAAACCCTCGGTTTTGGTAAAAGGGCCGCTATCAGTTTCCACTATCGTACCTTCTCCAGGTGGACTGGCCTCCGGTCCATGCCAGTAGCCCCCAAGCCCATCCGTAGGTCGCCAACACATTTTTCGCTCAAATAATGTCAGGGAAGTCCCGGGGTGCTAGACTAAAACTATTCTTGTCACGTTTTACAAGCAATGCTGAAAAGTACTGGTTTATACTGGAACAAATTTATGCTTGATTGCACAATTTTTAGCCAAAGGAATTAATACGATCTACTATAATGTTGAAAATTCCCACACCGCCTATCCATGCAATCACAAATTGGACAGAGTCTTCGTGTTGTTTAATTTATCCACAGTGCATAGGTTCCACACCAACTTTAGGTTTGGCCTCGGGAATTGTAAGTGTGGAGACACAGATCTTTTGCCTGGTTGTAACAATAAATGAGTACAGCGAAGTTCACCGCACACTGTTACAAAAGGCACAAGCAAATTGAGGCAATATCTGCTGGGTACAACCTGTTGATAATTCTAGAGGAACTGATTAACATCATCTGAATTGGGATGTTTACATTTTGGCTAAGAAACCAGATTTATTTTGAAGGTATGTATCGTGAAGCCTGGCCATCCAACTTCTCCCTTATGCAATGATCCTTGTAGAAAAAAGGAAGGAATGGGGGTGGGTTTTTAACTTTAGGTTATCTAAGGGAAAGTTCAGTTAGTACAACGAGCAGAAAAGCTACTCGAAATAATCTTAGGTTTACCACAAATAATATTCCCGATTTAATTCAGATTCTGATGGCGTTCGAAGTTTGATTTACTCATCCACACAAATGTAACTAAAGGACGATTTGGAAAATGCTGGGTGGACGAACTTCGTCCAGGCAACATTATTACAGTAGTATAACAACAAATGGTACATATGTGCAAGTTTTTTAAAAAAGGTATTCGTAAAGATTTCTGATCGCCGACATTGCGCGGATGTGAACGCAGTCATTGTATGCTAATGCAACATTCGAGCAACATGATACCAGAACCAATCGCCAGTACAAATAAGACTAAGGTGTGTGGTTAAAGGGTAGTAATTTAAGACTAAACGAACCTGAAGGACGAAGTTGAGTAAGGACTTCTTGTTTTCATCCCAATAGTGCGGTAGGTCCTCCGCCGGTGGGTACTTGTCACAGCCCAACTCGAGAGTTATCTCAAAACAGTTTGTCTCCAAGTAGTTGTAATCTTGCATGCCTGAACGACAAATCAAAAGGGAGCTTGCTTCAAAGCATTGATGCCACCTTCCGGTCCCGTCAACAACAGAGCATATCCACTACCCTAACCCATGGTTTGCAGTAGAAATTAATGCACGTGCAAATAATCTTTACGACAATCCACAATGGCAAGCAAATTTTTGTCATACAAGTTTTATCAAAAGACAAGGCCTTTAACCTCTTTTCCCATTCACCATTTCCGACAGGTGATCATAAACGTAAGCTGAAGAACCATTTAAAGGATTGCAAACAGCCGTTTCATCTTTCCTTGACCCATTTAGCTTTGCGGTACATTTAAAGTACTTGATAGACAACCATAAGCATGACGTTATTCGTGCACTAAATAAGGTACGTCATAGCCACGGACAGGTCAAAGCAATTGGACAAATGCTGCTATGAGAGCTAAGGAGCAAACAAATTTTGGAAGAGACACAGCCATTTCGATTTGTTATTTTTAGCAGATTGGCTGTAAGGAAAAGCAAGCCTATTCCATCCACCTATGTTCTCAAACTCGCGTAGGCGATCGCCGTGAGGAGATGCTCAGTTAGCCAGAGGAGCGGGCGTATGAGGACGAGGTGAGCGCGCAAGTGCGTTCAGCGAACGAGCCAATCACGAAAGACGAAAACGCCCCGCATCGACGCTGCTCTTTCAGATCGATACTCCTCCGTTGCCCACCGATCAGCTTCATGGGAATGATTTCAGGGAGGAGGACTTCATGCACAGATTTTATGCATTATTGACCTACCCGCGTGAGTAAATCAGAGAATAAAATTCAACTAAGCTAGAAGAGTATGCTAGATTTACGCAGTCAAATTCAACTGAAAAAGTATTTTCTGCCACTTTATAGAAGTAGGTGCAAAATCATGACCAACTCAATCCCTGGCATTAACCTTCGTATCATGCTTTCAAGCTTGCACTGTGTATATCAAACAAGTGAAGACGCTAGTAGGTTTCCCACGACAGTGGTAAATTACATTATCGGAACAGAGCAACAGGAGTTTTTATGAAACAACCTCATAAATCCGCAATGTGCAAGCACAATAAAAGGAGCATGCCTTAGTAAAACGCATGCTGAAGTGGTGATTGATGTCGTTTTATAAAACAAAGATTGAGAGTAAGAACATGCACTTATTCGATAATAAATTAATTGTTACAATGTCAGCGCACATTCTTAGTATGTCCTATAAATAAAGTGCTTACGCACCACTTTTAACAGGATACCAATTCGCCCCATTTGTAATCCCACCAGGGAAAGAACGGTCGCCCGTACAGATTACCTCACCAGTTTTCATGCGTGGATGGTAGCTTGAATAGGCTTCGGCTAAATCCCTAAAGTGACAAGAAATAAATTGTACCATCGTATTTTATTTCAATCAAGTTTGTCTGTGCATACACATCGTATCCGTAAAATCACGAATAATATTTTTTGCTCATAAAATAGGTTTAGTGAGATGATACGGAATAAAAAATGATAAACATGACCCTGATATAACTGAAGACAAACCAATTAGAGTACAACAATTGCTGAGTGATTTGATGCTAATTACATAAGATAAAGTGATTTTGACCAAAATGCATTTCACACAAGTCACAGCAAACGTAGGAGCTAAGTTTATGCAAGATCGTTTGCAAGTAAAGTCCAACATTTTGATTGACAACTCACACAAAAACGTCATTATCAGGCGTCGGCGATTTTCGTCTCTGCCCATCGATGGAACCATCAAATGGGTAATTTGCCACCAATGCTCCTCCATGTATGTTTGCGGAAAGAACAAATGGAACTTTATGGAGCCACCTCTCTATCATCTCAGTTTCGATTTCTGCCTAAAGCAAAAATATTTGCTTACTGATAGTCATTTCACACAAGCATCATTAAACATTTGCTTTGTCAATCGCGTTGGGAGCATGATGATCGATCTTATGACCTCGATTACTTGTCGACTTATACATAACCATGTCTTCCAAGATTACTCTGACATGTTTGCGTAGAATAATAAGGAATTTGAGTGTGCCTACATTACCTTCGGAGCCCTAAAATATTCACTAAGGATCTCGAACCGTTCGCCTAGATCGTCTGCGTTCCATTGGTAATGAAGGCGATCCGAGTCGGGAAAATTCCTATTCAGATCAACGCCATTCGCGTTTTTTCGGCCTCTATTTTTACTATCGTTCTGAAAAAAAAAAGTTTCGAAAGAAAGGTCATTACAAAGACCAATAGTAGACTGGATCGATTTACGGATCAATATTTTCGCATTCTAGCAAACATTAGGAATAGAACTTACACCCGGCACGGCCATATCGAAACCATCTGGATTCATCGATGGCAAAATGTGAAGCCGTGTATTTTTCAAAAGCCATTTAATAAAAACGTCACCATCAAGGTACTGAGTACAGATGTAATCGGCCAAACGAAGAAGAAGTTCACGACCAACTACCTCATTACCATGCATGTTACCAATTAGCTTAACTTCGGGAACACCTAGGTCAATAAAACAAATAGTGCATTTCTAGAACATCTTTAATTATCTTGCAACGGAAGGTGGCAACCTTAAAATCTAGTCAAAGCCAATGCAGCTCAATCCAAAGATTTTCTAAATAAACAAAAGTCGGTGTGTGAAGTAAAAACTAGCTTTTATTGAAATTCATTGCTTTCTTGCCATGCACAAATGCCCTAAATATAAAGAAGTACATAAACATACCTACTTTGTGCCAATAAGATGATTGGCCAAATGCCAAAACGTAAAGTTTGTTACCGTTCACAGTTACATCGCAATCAGATGCTCGCAGATAATAAAAAAACGATGAAGTCTGGCACTTCTTGTTAATCTCACCCAGAATTGACCCGATCTCAAAATTTGAATGATAAACTGTCCAGTTAAAAGCCAGTCCGGCATGGACAAAATGAGTTAACGCCAGAAATATAGGCAGTATTGAAGACATCACGATACAGCGAACCGGCACTTTTTAATAAGGTGCGTGATGTTTCATGAGTTGTAGTCAGTTAATGTAAACAAATGCCAAGGTATCACGACAAGACAAAAAAGCTAATAATACGCTTAAAAAGCTTGCAATTACCCAGGAGTGCATGCGCATTGCGCAAAACTGCTTTGTCCGCTGGAGGTGTTAATGGCATAAATTAAGCCTTTAATTAGGTGCCTGCAGTGAGAGTGTCATTTTTAATAGGCAAATTTACTTATCTCCTAAAAAATGAGTTGTTTCAACAATGCGTGTAGGTTTGTTATCGTTTTCCTCCACTTTTTAAGCTATTTAGCGCAAAATATTCGTCCCAAGAATTGTAAAGCTGTGTTTCCGTTAAGGCTGCAATAATGTATGTCAACACATGAAAAGAGTTTATTGTTAGTGTTCAGGGTGTGTGATTCCACAGGCATAGTTGTAAAGCTGGCATGTCACAACGGGAATACTCAATAATCTCACAGAAACGAGCAATTACTTATGTCACCTAAACAGAAGTAAATTCACGGCAGCATTCTGGATGATCAATAACGTGTAATACGATAGTGGTGTATCCCTCGGTTCTGGTGAAGCGCCACTTTTGTACTTTGAATTGGCTCCCTTGTACCTCTCTGGGTGGGCTGTCCTTTTGGGCCATGCCAATAGCCCAGACACCTTCTCCATGCTGAATATATATATTCTGCCCGAGTATTGTGTCTTATTTCGTCTTCATGGAGTCTCGGGACGCTACAAACGTCCCAAGCCACTTTGATCTCAACTCTTTTGCAAACGCTCCTCTTTTTATTCTATCCACTACTATTTAAGGTAATAGATTATGCTAAATTTCCTTCTGAAGTAACCTAATCCGCCATCTTCTCAAATTGTCATTTTAACTGAACACTGCTTTGAGCCGAATTTCTTGCACAAATCACTTTATTTAACTCTATTCGAGTAAGCGGTTTGGTACCCTTCTTGATCGATTTGTTTATGGTCGGACCCCTTGTTCTCTCACTCTGTAATTTTGGTTTTGAGGCCTGCCAGCAGCCTAGGGAAGATTCGGGATGCTACACGAAGTTATCGGGACATACGCGACCAAGATATAGCATTACAGAACTCGGTATCTTCCCTGAACTCATTAAAAGACTTGAGAGTGCAGAGCTGAATCCCCTCTGGATTCATAAAAGATCCGACGACTTGTCAGCAGAGCCAGAACTAAGCCAAGGTTTCGGTGTCCAAAACCTCACCCAGACTGAACAAATAACGATTCAGTAAAGTGCAACGAGACCAGAGACTATCTTTATGGCAGTCGGTATCAACCCATGTGGGGGCTGATGAGTTTGCATGTGCCCTACGTGACCACTAACTCCGGCATCCAGTCCCAGGCTTCGTTTTCATTTCGTGCTAGGCACAGCATTGCACAATTCATGCAGACCTTTAAGCGGGAATCCCCCAGTCCCACTGGTAGACCACACCGCAAACACGGATTGACTGAAACGTACGACTAAATGTGAAGTGATAAGACGTTACCAAACTTCAAAATTCCAGACTGTCATCCTGCTTCGTGGCCATAAGGAACATGGGTGGAATTCACGCTTATTTTATATTTTGAACCGCCTTTTTAACGGCCCAACGTGATACGATCCAAGCGATATCAGTAGCACAAATTTGAGGTACTCGAATGGTACAATGGTTATATTAAAGTGAGCCGGTGTCGTCATGATGCCCATTGAGGAGACCTGTTGGACCTGTGTTGACAAAGACAGTATTAAATATGGAAACACCCCGAATCAACAGGCAGCATGGAGGAAACCCAAACAATTCCAATGCGACTCACCTCGAAGCAGTGCTTAGCTTTGAGGGTATGAGAAATAGCATACAAGATAATACCAACGAACTTTCACTGACTTTAGATTGGTAGAAAGCTCGATACGTGCATAAGTAATGGAAATAAAAGGATAGAAATGGAAAGGAATGGGGGAGTGAAAACAAATTCAAGCGCCCTGAGGAGGAGCAAAAAGTTCGTCGTCTTCAGAGAGAGGATCGGCATATTCTTTCACTTCAAAAATCAATGCTTCTTCGAGAATCACCTTTCCCTCTTTGTATCGCTGACTTTCCTCCATGGCGTACTCGTACATCCACCCTAATTTATTACCGCAGTTCATGCAGAGGACATCGCGTACCAGATGCCGACCAGTTATCATAACACGGTCCTAGGTGTAAAATTCAGAGGTGTTGGTAGAATAAACTTGATGAGAACTACACGGTTAGTTGAGTACGCTTAGCACAGATGATCAGTGACGGCCTAAAGTTAAAGACCAGTCAGTAAGAAAGCCAAAAGCACACATGGTGACCATTAAACTAAGAATGAATAGCGTCAAGTCAAAATTTAAATGGACAGACAAAGGGGACAACAATAATATTATAGAGGCAGGGCCCTACTCAAATTTTCCACGGAAGTTCCACGGGCTCTTTAAACATGACATGAGGTAACCTCAAAAATATATGAAGTGAAGAAAATGCGGCACAGGTTCAAGTCGCAAACATTAGATGGTAACTCAGTAAAACCTGAGAGTAGGCCAAAAATGTGCAGGAAAATTTAATGCAAAAAGTCACTAAAAGGAAAAATACACGTGGGCAAATAATTACCAGTTATGCAAAAAGGTAAACGACTTACCTGAATTTCACTGAACGTAACATTCACAACACGATGAAAGAGGAAAGCGCGCCCGGTTGATCCGGTGAATCGCGTACTTAGTAATTCATCTCTATTAGTAAGTGGAGTATGACAATGACAAACGAACACCCTCTCCCCGCCCAAATGTTCGATAAATAAACGACCCATCAAAACCCCAAAACTTGCACTCAACCGTCATACAAACGAGATAATCTGGCCCTGAGAATGTTCACTTGAATTTGGGTGGAAGTTGGATAAAAAAAACACAAGTTATTCGTAAAGTATTTTATAGATAATACGCTTTAAAAACGATTTCATTCATTTGTGTGGAGCACTTTAACCATTTTGTTGGCGCCCAACCATAAAGCATTTACCACTGCATGTAAATTAACGTTTCTATACAAGGTATTCATGGGGGCCTTAACACCCTTTTTCGAAAACTTTAAAAAACGCACTTTATAACGTTTTCCTTTATTTGGCAAACACAATATTGTTTCACATCCTAAATCAACTTTTTCAACTTCCATTTTGATCGAGCCTTTCCATTGTCATTTAATCCGAACGTGTCAATTTTCAGTTCCCACCTCTATATCTTCCTTTCAAAAATAGAATAAATTACAAAAAGCTTCATTATTTTTTAATTTAATAGAGTTAGGGTTCATGAATGGATCGAAAGCTTTTCACGTACGTGTGCAGGCACTTCATCCGCAAACAAGATTTCCACCACATAAAGGTGCACAATTGCTCTTCCACTGCTTGCCAACGCTTAGTCTGTCAAATCTGCATTACCACTTGGAAGAGCGTTAGTGCACAAACGCACAGAAATTAAGCTGCCATGCGAGCTAGTGCTGTACTCATACCACTCATCGCTCTCGTAGTCGGCGTGCTTTTCCGTTACTGGCCTCGCTCATGCCTCTGCCACATCAGCCAGCGATTGGACGGCCGTGTGGCTCTGGTGACCGATGGACCCTCCTTCATGGGTTCCGAAATCACTGCTGAATTGGCGCGTCGAGGAGCTACTGTGTTGATCGGTTGTCAGAGCAAGAAACATTTCGATACCGTCCATGATAAAGTTCTGCGCCTCTATGGCAAGAACGGTGAACGTGTGAATTTGGACTTTGTGGACGAGCGGATTAAAAATGACCTTACACCAATTAAGGAGTCTCAGGTGGGTTGTGCTGGACTTAAACTTACTCACATCGGATTCTTTTGATTTGAACGAATGGCTACCACTGTAGCCACACAGATGTCATAAAAATGTTCGAAATAAGTGGTAAAATTAAGACTTTGGCCAGACGTTGGATTTAACCAGCAATACACCCAGTTTAAGAGAGTCGATTTTTTTAAACTACAATATATAATTTCCTCCATTAGGGTATTTTACGCGTTAGCTAAGTCATAGATAAATAGCGAATTCACATCCAAGACTATCATTTAGTTTTAAGACTATTACAAGTATTTTATTCCTGTAACTCTTTTAAAAAGGTAGGCATTGATCTCCGCATCACCATTTGTTTTTTTTAAGCGCCTCATCAAAATTGCAGCTAAAACTAAGGAACACAGCTAATGTATCATCGTTTTTAGTCTTGCAAGTAGAAAACTCATTGTTGGGGATCTTTTTTAATCTAAAATAATTGTTTTAAGAGCTTAATTTAAGGAGATAAGTAATCTAAAAGGTAGAAAAAATGTTCCAAATTATAAAAGCCGTGGCACTTATTTCAAAGTCAGGGTAATAAAATCAAATAATACTGATATCTGGGAAGTCCCATTAATTTACAGTGCTACTAATTTAAAGGTCCGGCATTTAAATGCAGGGATTTCTTGTCCTTAAAAAAGTATGACTAAATCGCGTTGGAAAAATGGGCCGCAAGAGACCTCGACATTGAAGCTAAGTTACTGAGGCAATTGCCATTGCTTGACGAGTCAAGTTAAAAACCGACCTATAAGCAGAGAGTGACTGTTAAAAGCCCTCGCACAGCATTCCTCACGCCTATCATGGGTCTCAAATGCAACTGAAAAGCGTGAAAAAGTTAAGTGCGCATCTGTGACTGGAGGTGCCGCCGCTGCATGTGAGTTTGCAGACCAAAATAGAACTAGTTTCAGAGTAGATTACCAATAGTATTTTCGCTCAGTAAAACAATTTAAATGGTTTGACCTGACTCAAATAATTAACACTGAGCTAAACTACTGTGATGGACCACTCCTTGATGCCACGCGTGAAGTTCTGATGTTGCAATAGTGTTTAAGCTATGCCATTTGCTTAAACCACGTTTCATCATATGAATGAAATCTCTGCAACTGATTACATGACCGTGACTTGAACCACCTGATCGTCAGGCTGCTAAAATACTACTATTAACCCAAGTAGTTTCTATCTTTTCAAGTGTTGAATAGACACTGTTGTTAATAAAATGTGATAAAATATAAAATTTTGCTTATAAAAACACAGAGGAATATTTTGATATTTTAGTTGACGTCTTGAAATTGAAGTCACTGCCGATGCACGCTTGTTCACATGGCAACAAAGTAGAGCGAAATAAGTGTTCATAAAAGCAGTTTACTAATTACAAAAGCATAATTTTTTAAGAGCCTTTGTAATTTCCCTTGAATGGTAATATATTCGGGCGGAAGAGTTTTGTACCAGACAATTCGTCGCCCCGGGGCAATGCGAATCATTACTTCTGGCATACATTTTGCCCTTCTTTTTTGCACCCAAGAACTTATAGAATTGCAACATTTACACCCCAAACTAAACTGAGAACTTTTTCTCTAAAAAATATATTCTCTATTAAAATTGCTAAAAGCAACTGATGGAATTAAAAACTCGGGGTATATCAGTGCCCAGCATGAGAGGTCCAAAAGGAAAACCGCACTATTACCTCCTTATTTTAGCTGAAATACATGCCATTGCATCTGAATTCCCTGAAATCTCTAGAAGGCTTTGCAAATGAGGTCATGAATGTGACTGGTCGATTGGACTTCCTGATCAATAACGCTGCCGTTAGCCACGGTCCCTACTTCACCACCATGGACGATTACGAGTCCACTATGGCAGTCGGTCACTTGGCTCACTACCTGCTCACAGAGCACCTGCGACCGCTTCTTTTAAAGACAAAACCCGGTGCAAGAATTATCATCATTTCGTCGGCTGAACACACCACTGGCTCGGTGGGTTCTTGTCATTTCTTTCTCCTCTACTGATAAACTCATTAGTAGCATACTCATTTTGACGTTTCAGTTCAAAGAACACGGTTTCTTTATTAATTATGACGGATTCAACTCAGTCAAAGCTTTTGCACAGGTCAAACTGGCCAACGTTGTACATGGAGTCATATTGGCACAGAAATTCAAAGGAACCTCTGTGGTTCCAGTTAGTGTGCACCCAGGATACGTGCTTCCCGACTTCGGTGTAAGTTTGGATTATTTTCATCGAATACTAACGACGAAGTAGAAACGCAGTGCATCCATTGGGAAGTGCTTCGATTAAATACGACTAAGAATTGCCAGTCAGAATAGATTAGTGTCATCCTGACTCAAATGTTATCTGAGAGATGACTTGCAGCAATATGCTGAATCGTGTTATCCATTCATAACAAAATAAAATCATCAGGAGACAATGAAGCTTAAGAACGGGCATTTTTATGAAATCTACGAGGCCGAAGTCGTTTGAGACAGACTCTTGGGTTTGTAATCATTCAGCTGATTGCTTTAAATAATTATTTTTGCCAAAATTACATAAGTCATTTGAACAAATTCTTATTTTAAAAAATAACATTCAGTTACGTAAAACCAACCAATGTGAATGCAAAGCCTGATACCGTGCCATTTTCAGGTATTCATGCCGGCCATTTTTGGAGCATTTTTCAAAACTCCTTGGGAGGCCGGTCAGTCTGTCCTCTACCTGGCATTGGCACCCAAACTTAAACCGGGAGGTTACTACTCAAACTGCCAGTTGGTCGAGCCAGCAGCTGAGGCAAAAGATAGAGAGATCATTAAGTTCGTCAGGACAGAAAGTGATCGTCTTATTAAACTGAAAGTTTAGCTCCACCTGTCCGCACAAAAGCAAGTGCATCACCCGATAACAATTTTTAGAGCGGGTCAATCGAGATTTGGAAGGAATAAATACTGCTTACCTCAATTTGTTTCTTTATTTATATTCCTTGACATTTATAAGCAAATCTGTCTCATTAGCTTTTTACCGTAATAAATTTACCAACTATGTGCCAAATTTCACTACTAAATCTCTTCTGCAATAGGAAAAAGATGTTCCTTTGACTGATAAAGGAACTGCCAAATTCTTTGCAATGGGAGACAATCCATGTGTGAGCGTAGAAATATTCAAAGCCAAAAATAGGCATTCGTTTTCTTTGACCAACAAGCATACCTTGAGATCGAAAAGACCTCGGTGAGATACGGTGCCAGTACTTCTTTTTATTAGATGCGCAATTACATCCTGGGTTACATTATAACCTTACAAATACACATACGCATATCATGACCAAGCGTCTTGGGTGCCATAAGTAAAACCAGAACTTCAAAATTTCATTCCAGGTCCTTTAAACTGAACAGAAACTCACCGGACTTTCCTGTTAATAAACCCACTTTCGAAAAGATCTGCAATGGATGACATTCGAGATGATGCAAAACCATCTCAGATTGCCCTGACAACAGAGGGGTTATATGAGGATACCTACTGAAAAAATACAAATGAGTAGACTTTCACAAATGGTCAAGTAAATGCCAAATTTTAATTACCATGGATATAAGTAGGGTGCTTTACTTAGAATAAATGCCACTACGATTCAAGGACAACGAAAGGAAAAGGCTTAATTGCATATGCCTAGGGGAAGTTGATTTATAAGCCGTGGTCAAGGAAAGTAAGTAGTGGCCAGTGATGTAGATCTCAAATGCAAGCAAAACGTTGGTGACATTCTAAGGGTAATGCGTTCAGTGTTTTCTAACCCATGTTGCTATCTTTCCGAAATCGAAGAACCCAGTTAAAGTTAATGAAGACATGTCAACAAAAGCACATTCGAAAAACACAAAGCCAATTCAAATGCCTTGTAAAATGTGCTACTGATTAACATTTCAAAGTAGAGGTGCCAAAACAGTGAGTCTGATCATAACTTGAAGGATGTTTTAGCGGTAACACCTGTACAGTTGAGGCTTTGTCTTATTCCCATGTAGATGATCGAATAAACATCAGGCCAACGATGACAACAATAATTAACCAAATGCAATAACCATTTGGTAGGAAAATAATGCAACGTGACGCCCGATCGCACCATAAACGAGGCTTAACATGAATGGGGGGAGTGAATATGGTTGTTTAGTTTTAGTTAATTAATGACAGGATGATATTTGGCTAGTGGATTTGTGTGGAAACCTTCTACTTTCGTCAGACTATGCGCAGATTTGAAGTGAGGGTCTTAACGACGTGTTTTTTCCCAACAGAATCCTAAAGTAAACATACTTTAACAGTGCAAGAAATGGAGACCATCAAAATGTCGAGAAAGTAAAGTTGTAAATACAGAACCAGACATGCGTGAAGGACACTGTTTACTTAACTGAGCGCAGACTCTAGATCGGTGCAATTTTATGGCTGCTGCAGTAGCAGAGATAATATCGAAGCGACTGCTGCCATTTACGTTGCGAGGGATCAGTGGACAAAAGACTAAAAAGTTGGGCAGTTGTGACTATGACAGGAATGACAACCAGCAGACGTCTCGGATTGCGTGTGCAATCTTCACTTAAGTATGAAAAGTGGGAAGAGGAGTTTTGAACTAGTACGGAGGCGAAGTGATGCATGCGTGCATATTCAGGGCAGTGCCGATAACGGATCTTCAATCCGTTAGGGATAAAAATAGGTATACAGATAGAAATATATGTATCTGTACTTTGGAATCGGACTTCTTGTGACTTAAGCAACTAATATATAAGTGATTCGATACCTTCTTATGTAGTGAGCTCCCCCTTATTGAAATCCCATTTACCTTAGGTCATACTGTTTGGTTGATAATTAGCAAAAGAAAGCACTTTATGGCTCGCCTTGCTGGTTGACACTACATGCGTGTATAGATCGTCACCACCAACTTTATTTACACAGCATAGATAGAAGTGCGTCCATCTTCATCCAGAGGGCAAAATGAAAGTCATCATGGTCAAATGTGCGTGCCATGGAAGAAATAGAGGGGGCAGCACTTGGACGAACACAGACATCACGTCATAATCGCCATCTTCATACAGGTGCTTTGGCCGGAGAGGTGGAAGATTTGCCAGAGGAGGTGGAACGCTTATTTGCCGCATTTTTGGTCATATTACGCATATGCCGAGAGGTGGAAAGACCGAGGAGTTCGAGGTCCTGCACCGAGTTCATCCCCGCCTCAGCGTCGGCGGCAGCCGCTAGGACACCGGGAAGGTCAGTTCCCACACCACCCGCCCGCAGAGGTCCGGACACACCACCTCCACCCCCCATGAAGTTAAGCAGGCGGAAACGCGCCGAGCTCTCACCAGATAAGTTGCCACCGCCGCCCTCGTGGCCGTCGCGGGCTGCGGCTGCCAACTCTCGCGCCGCCTGTTTAGCTTGATTGAGAAGGGTGAGGAAGAGGTCGGAACGCAGGAAGCGCCCATAGGAGTCGCGCTCCATCAATGCTTGGATGCGTTTTTGTGCATTCTCGAATGTGTGTGTGGAAGGCGAAGCCAATTCTGCGATTGTCTGCTCGCGTGTGACTGAGTCCAAGTTTATCTATCATAACAAAGTCGGCAGTAAGAATTGACCATGCCCTACAACATTAGTGCATATTTACACACCAGCACTTTGCGAGTTTACCTAGTCCGCAATGTTCAATTCCGTCAGCTAAAATTAAAATATTCCTATTTAAGGCATCTCACCCACGTTACGTGAAACGAAAGACCTTTCCTAGCATAGGTCATTATCAGCTAATATTTCTTTTTAGCAGAAAAGTATAAGCCTCTAGCTTGTAAAAGAAATTCATGTTATTCTCATAATGTGTAAGTTGTTATTTGCTCTTTTCAGTTCAGACACGATGCCAACCACAAAACGAGCGCTTAGAGGACGCAAGCTTTTGTTTTGGAGGCTGCTTGAGCTTGAGCCTCAAACCCTTGAATATGCCATGGGAGCCGTTCTGCCATAGCATATATAATACCTTAAAAGAGTATATTTACAATTATTTGTATTGCATAAATGGAGAGATGAAATTTTAAGCATAACGCACACTTATGTAGGATAAGAGATTGTAAAAAAAGGCCATAATGTTTTTAACTTTGTGTAGGAAATAATAGGAAGTTCTTTATTTAAAGAATTTTCTCATTTAAACCCCAAGAGAACGGGGAAGTTCCACGGCAATGAATGAACGAATGAAGAGACGATCTTACCTCTCTGCACGCCTGAGTTGCAATGAAATCTTCATAAATTTTTGGGCTTTTGCCTGCTGCTTTTTCGGTTGCGTTATAGTCTTATACTCCTCACACGCAATCCAAAATTCAATGTTCTCATCGCTAAATTCAGTCGCCAAAAATTCCTTAAAGAGTGCTAGACCATCTGAAAACGGAAATGTGAAAAGAAATTCCAATTAGTGAAGCAGTGAAGGCACTTCCTGGATTATGAAACGTGCAGTACATCGAATGCATCAATATAAACGAATGACATGGAATGTATTATAGAGATGATTGAGGATATAAGGCATCTTTTTTTCCAAAGCTTCTGCATCGGTGGGATTTTATTTGTGTGTCTATTAAATAAATTACTTATTGTAATCTTCGCGGCATTATGAGATTCTTATTGGCCAGAAGGCTTTTGAAGCACGTGTTACATGCATAGGAAACGAGTGATGATTGACGTGTTTGGGATGTCAAAGATGTGTGGTACCAGGCACCGAACCGCATAAAAAGCCTACGAATAAAACTATCCACAACTTCTTTTTCATATAAAAGTGGAATTAAAGCTAATTTCACCCAAATTTGTGCTAAAATAATCCATTTATTAGTGGCTAAATATATTTTGAATTTCATGGTTGTTTGAACTCGCTTCACTCAATAAGCAGAATTTGCAGCTTTGATTGTCATATGGACGCCTTTTTTTGATCGTGGGTCTGTGTGACGCGAAGAAAGGTTAGTTCAACTATTCGCAGTGTTAAGTAAATGAGCTTATTTCAAAAATAAATATAGAAATTTTCGACATTTTTTAGGCACTTGACTGTAGCTGACCTGTCAATGGTTTGTCAAAATGCCAGGTGGACTAACTTGCTGTTAAACTACAGCATATGCGAAACTTTGATTGTTTGTTTAACTCCTCGTTTTGGTTCCGCTTCTACACTCCCGCTGGGTGGAATGGCCTCCAGGACATGCTAGTAGCCCCCCCCCCCCCAGCTCTTCTTTGCGTCGGCAATACATATCTCGCCCCAGCGTTATGTCTTCTTACGTCTTCAGGAAAGTCTCGGGGCGTTACACATATACATATGCAGGATTTTCAGACTAAAACTACATGCCATACTTACTAAAAGTGTCACAGGGGTATTTCTCTCTCGCCTCAAAGTAACCTAACAAAACAAAGCGAAATCCCAAGCCAACAGTCTGAAATACGCCAACTAATGTTTGGAGGCTCTAAGTAAACAAGTCATGAAATAATTTAATGACTACTGTATTTTCTGACATGTTAGGTAATAACTGTCAAACGAATGAACCAAGCAATTTCCGCTTCACTATGATGCTGTGGTACCACAAGCGATATAACGGAGAAGGCCTTCATCCGAATTCCACCGAAACATTTGTGTAACAGTCTAAATTTCTCCAATTTCGTCAGTAAAAAGTTGCACGAAAACACGCCTGAAATTGCTACTCCTCCTTCCCGAGGGCAGGGGAAAAAGGAAGTGGATTGCAAAGCTCCAATAAAGTCCTGTGTGGTCATTTCAGTCAACCATAATTAATTCAGGAAAGCAAAGTCTGCACAGGCATTTAATCTAACTCTGATTTAGAAAATAATTCCACCACTTTTAGTTGCCACTTTAAAATTGGCTTCAGCTTTTCGTTGATACTTCAAGGTGTTGAGTTTTCATTCTGCGCAGTTTTTGCTAAATTACAGCAACTCCTAAGAAGAGTATTGTCAACACTTTTTTCTCCCCATCCCCAAACAGCCACCTGTAAAGCAGTTTGATAAAGCTTGCCTCATAAAACAGAAGGTTTGAATTAACTTCGGCTACCTGCGAGACGATTAATTCGCAACTAATATGGGGAAGTATGGCCTCTCCCTTCAAAGAAGGAGTAATAAATGTTAATTAAATCTCTACTTAAAAGATGTCTTTTAAGACAATCTAAGAGGCTAATTTTATTTTTGTCAGTCTATTTCGATTTGATGAAATAGCCTGTATGCGCGTCATTTTGTGACTATGGTTGCAGCTGTTATGGCGACGTTTCCTCTGCCCGCCTTTTATAACCAATGTAGTATCCGGAGCAGTTGCCGCCTTAATCATACCTTTTAAAAAGAAGCAGATTTCTCATCCTGTTTTCATTATTTTTATAGCATTAATTATCTTTTCAGATGTATGCTTCGATGATTTTGGCGTAAGTGCTTGAAAATGATCAAGTAGTTGAAATGCATCTGCAGCATTTAGCCAACATCTTTGTGTGGAAATCAACAGAAGGCAATGACCTTGTTGGGTTTGGAAACTTTTGTCTGTATTAACTTAAAAATACAGATAAGTAGGATATGGCTGATATTGCGAGGGGATAGGACCTAATGATTGAAATGCATTTCGATGTCTGCCCCCGCTAGCCTGTCAATAGTTTGCTCTCGCTTTGGACTTTGCTACACGACATTTTATCTCCTTCGCGCCTTAATTTAATCAAACCCTAGCACTTTTAAAGCAAAGCCGAAGGCATTCAAAGCTTCGACGCAAATAAAACACCTATGGCTTGAGATATTACTTAACACAAGTGAAATATCTTCCGTAAACGAAGCTTAGAGGCTGAATTGTTTATAACCCTCTACACCATATTTGACAGTTTTATCTGCACTTTTGACAGTAAAGGTCGGCAAAACCATCTGTTCAAGGTATTTAAGCGTATCGTAATGTGGTGCTTTGCAAGTTCGAAAAAGAGCGCATTAGTCCAACAACGTTAGTACAAACAGCCAACAGGATTTGGCGTCTGAGGACTTACACTTGTCAGCTAGCAGGGCTTCGAATGATTTCCTCCACCTATGCACCTGTTCGTAGCTAGGCTTACCAGAAGCAATCATTTTAAGGAGCTCATCCTGTTGAACAGTTTTCACCTGGGTACATCGCTTTGAGAAGAAGGGCAAGGACCTAGGTGGGTAATGAGCAAATAGCTAAGGTATGTAAGAAGTAGAAACGGTAGCATACTACAAGAAGAAGAAGACCTAAACCTGAACTTTTTTGTTCGTCAACGAATAAAGAGGCGTACATTTTGTCCTTCCAACTCGAACTTCTTCGTAGGCTGTTCCCTGAGGTGCTTTCCATGGATTCAAGACTGCCGAAGTGAGCGGCGTCTAGAGCTGCATTCCAGCTCTGTCGAAGTGCTCGCTGTTCAGCTACCGACATCGTATTCGACTGACGTGCTGGAACATGGGCAGTGATTGCGGTAGCGGCCCTCTTTATGGTCCAAGGAAAACGCATATGCAAAAGGAAAATCACTTTTGGGATCCTTATAACCAAAGAATGCTTTTGTCGCTTAACAGTTTTGCTCTATAAAAAGGCTCATGCAAACGCATCGGACCTTCTTATACTGGTGCACTGGAAGAAGGTAATTTTTCCCTAATTAGTCTTATGGATGGCATATTGAAGGACTGTAAACCTAAAAATAACTTTAAGATTTCACCTAATCATAATTTTACAAGTGTAGCGGAAGTTGTGCGATTTTGTTAGTGTGAGCAACTTAGTTATCCCCAGTGAAGAAATCACAACTAAAAAATTCTTTGACATAGATGATTACATTGCTAATATTTGTCGTTAATTAGTGTTTATAGTTTTTTTAAGGAAAAATCAGCCTAAAGGTGGAAATGGGAAGCAAAATCGCGACAATGAGCCGAACGACGAGGGTGGTTACGTGTTCGAGCTCATGCAGTGGGGACAGAAAATTATTTAAAAGGTAGCATGCAATGTTGGAGACTGTGCTTAATGGCCCAAAATAATTTCACTGCAAAAGCTAAATAAATGCAAATAAAGGGACAAAAATTTCTCTTATTTTCAATACAATACCCTTTGTGTCGATGTTTGAATTATGACTGAATTGTTTTGGAGATAGATGGTATCCATTTAGACATGCATTGCAGAAAGAAAAGGAGATCGTTTTGCCTTTTTTTGTAGATCATTTACAAAATGCACACTAATATAATTTCTTCGAAATAGTTCCACATCAAAGCCAAATTGTTGATCTCACACATTATTTCATACAGTAATGAGAGAATGAAGTGTTCACAAACAGCATTCCTTTAGAAATTCTATACTATTTTGGACAACCTGAGCATAAGTAATCAAAAATTAGAAACTCCAATGGGAGCTCATCTGTCAGCGTGCAAGAGTACGCTACATGGTCCAATGTACTTAAATATTTTAGCGAAAACGAGAAATGATTTTATGCTACGCTGGCAGCCATCAGAACTCCGAGAATTTGTATGGACTCGCAGAGAATTGTCCAATGCCCACACTTATTGAACCGACGTTTATTCGATCTTGTAGCGCTGGCGTTCCTCAGGCTCCACACCCCAGACATGTAACATTTTTGAGCGGCATAACACCAGACAGTTTATGCATAAACAAACTTCCTGTTTTAAAGTAAAAAGGGAATTGTTGGGACTTCTAATTAGAACATTTGATGAAGAGTTTTATCGGAGATGGGGGCAAATTAAAATTTAATATAGAAAGCTCTACAAACACAGGGGTGGCGCATTCGACTTAAATATTGTTCCACCTCACCCCAACTGGTGTTTTCATAGAGACAACCCATTTTCAAAGGCACACATTAGTTGCTTCACTGCACCCTTGTTAACCTCCCTAATTGCCCATAATGGCAACAACCGAAAAGAACGTGGGGCTTCTCCACTCGACTTCAGTACATGAATTGCGTCGTTGACCAAATATGCGTTTGCAAGCATGACGTAAAAGCGAAAATGACTTACATCCATTCACTCCATTATAACTACTAGTAGTATAATGCTTCAAATTACTACTCATGGTATTAGAAACTACTACTTGCAAAATGTGCATTCCAGCTGTAATGAGGGTTGTAAGTATAGGTGGATTGGAAGGAGTGACCAATTGCCACTTCGAAGCATTGACTGAATGTCCCAAACATGGCGACGCACCTCCCAGTCGCGTTGTGTTACCTTCCGGTCTTAAGAGACAATGTGAAGGTAGTATTCAGTTACTCGGCTACTTAAGACAGACCGTCTAGTGTCCCCATCTAATTGCTCCAGTACAAAATTTGGTATATGTCGTGAGTATGTGGCGCTTCTTAGGGAAAGCAGTACAAATCAAGCCCGTCTATTGCGGTAACGGAAAAAATCTTTTAAATCATTTATGATAGTGCGCTTACAATGCCTAATACGCTTTGCAAAATTTCTAATTCTCCACCAACCTCTTCCCAGAACACGCAAAGTCTTTAATCAAGAGGAACTAGAACTGGCGGAATTCATAAGTGGCGATTTGGATGAGTTGAGAAATTTCCTGATAGTATCACAGTTCCTGAGCAAACACAAATACCGAGTTCGTTAGCAAGTGACTAGAAGTAAAGGGAACTATTAGCTCCGTCATCTTCCTCTACGCTGCTTCGCCTTGTGATTCATCATCATCAGCCAAGCGATGTCTTCTTCTTCTTCTTCTTCTTCTTCTTCTTCTTCTTCTTCTTCTTCTTCTTCCTTTATCGAAAAGAATTTGCATATAATTATGCTAATCGGAATGCGAAGAATAAATAATCCGTTTGAAAGCAAAAGTGTGGATACCTTCAAAGAGGCGATCTTCCAATCTGACTCCGTGTTAAACATATCGAGCACTTTCATCATTTGTAATGTTCATATTTTGAGGCTTAAGGAGGTACTTGTTTCACGACTGGAACTATATAATAATGCTCCAATTTGAGTTCCGAAAGTAAGTTTGCATTTATTTGCACGAAAGGAAGTAGCACTTTGTCACCACTGGTCTGGACATCTAAACACGATTTCGGCAGCTTATCAAAAGAATTATGCATTACTTCAGTTCAGGTCATACATGAATGAGTAAGAGTCCTTAAGTCCGGGAATGTGCTAGATCGAAGTCATTAGCGGACTCGTTCCGATATACCCGCTTCTAACTTAAGCTACAGCCTTGGAAAACCGACTTTTGCCATCTCCGTCAAGTGCGATTGAGTATCTTTGAAATTCACGTGCTTTTTAAAGTGATTTCTTTGAAATAAAACGGTGTTAGTTTGGGAATTGAGGTCATGCATTTTCAGTAATGCATCAATTTCTTAAACTGCATTTGCTCATCATTAAACATTGCATCATTTTGATTCAAGTGGAAGGGAAACGCGTTACCGAAAATAGTCACGTCTAAGGACTGGTCGCCTAAGGGTCCAGTTGTTTTCCCCATCACTTATTGACACACCCATAAACGTGAGTAGTTTTAGCAAAGTCCTGTGCTAACTTAAATGACAAGCATTCACATTGATTAAGCGCGTCAAAGTGGAGAACACTAGCTTCAGCACGAAGTCGGATCCTCGAAGACTGTAAAGTGGTGTCCAAAGCACGGAGAACAAGTCCTTTTTTATTTTCTTGTTTATACACGGTTTAAGTAATTCATCTGTCTGGAATGGGTTGCATCCCACCATCGCGCACCCTGCGAACAGACGGCTATCCTTATGGCCGCATTGCCGGTTGCAATGTGAATTACAAAAGTGCAATGGCATGCTTTCACCTATGGTGACATTCTGCGGTCATTTGGGCACCTGACCCTAGAGGGAAGTGTGGTTTCAAAATAACACATGTTATTTTACGAGATGAACAGTTAAATAGTGTAAGCCCCCTAGACCTCGGAAACGTAGTGTAAACGCACCATTGTGCAAACAAATTACACTACTTTTCTGTGCCATTGAATAATCTACAGTTGGATAATGTTAAAGGTTATTGGTACTTCCTATTTCCCCCGTTTTCCAGTTTATTGACGTAAAGCTAAAAGATACACAACCATCTCTTGCCCATTTCATACCCATTTATCATTTCTTCGATATTCTTTAAATTCACTGACCAACGTTATGAGTAAAAAAGTCGGTAAACAAGTTCCATTTACCAAATGCTTCCAACCTTTCAGTGGGTGCTAAACCTTACTAATAAGTAATATAACTGTATCTAAACCTCAACGTACACATGTATACGATAAACCAAAAATCATTTAACGTCTAGAAAAATTATGGACTTAGCGCTGATGGTAGCGTGGTCACACTAAAAATGCTTAAGTTTGGTCGAGGCTATTATCCTTCACTTCCACTTTTGGTGCATGAAACTCTCATTTGCATAATGTATGTGCCCAATGCTAATACGTTTGAAAGGCGGGTATACTATATGTAAAACACCTTAATAACGTCTTAGTTGATCATCGAGCGAATAGTACAGAGTGTGTTAGAAAGTGTTGAAGGGGCTTCAGCGTCTCGAACAGTTTTGTGGTAGAACACTAGTGTAAGTGGCAAACTCCCGGTGCTTACACTAGCCTCACCAGTTAGGAAAGATGTGACCAGCGAAGAATGGACACTACGCACCGCACCCGACAGGCTCAAACATGCTCACTTGGTGCAATTGATGGTTCGAGTACTTGAGGATGACTTTGTTCTCACTCCTCACCAAAACAGATGTTTGTACAATAATTGGAGAGGTTCTTCGTCTGAGCAGCTCCCTTCAATGTGCCAACACAGGTTACAATGGTGGGCAAATTTTCCCACGCTAAATTCGCTCTTTTAAGAGACTTTGCGTCCGGGTCTTTTTATTCAGGCTATTAGCCCCAAAGAAGTGGACATGGGTACATGTTCAAGCAGTATCAAAGGAGAGGCGCAGTGTATCATGTAGTATTTTTTTAGCTGCAGTGCAAGTGAATTCAACCTGGCCTCGAGAGGGTTCATCCACTTTCCACCATGGAGCTTGGCACTTAAGTTGAACTTATAAACTCTTTGCTTACGACTAAAGTGATGTATAAAAATTTAATAAAGCCAGTGAGCTGGCGGTCAACTTAGAGGAATTTTTCAAAAAAATGGCCTTAACTGTAATTGCAAAGAGATGTGAAAATCGGTTAGGCACTACAGAGGCGATTGGGTAAGCACAGAAATCCGCAATGGCATTTTTCGGAGCGGGCACATAAAGCAAATTCAGAAAACACGATTTTTGTATCTGCTCTCCTGTAGTCGGTAATGATGAAAAAGTAGATAATACACAAAACTCACATGCATCAAGCTTGGAAATAAGCAAACCGTTTAGATTCAGGATTTATTTCAACTATTTTTCTATTAATATCAGTGCTCATTCATCCTCTGGTGATAAACTTCCACAAGAGTCTTTAAAGCTTTAGGGTATCATGAACATGGTTGAACCCGTATCCTTTTTAACTCTTGACATGGGAAAAGATATTTTCTACTTAATTACTAGTAAATAATGTAAAATTCAATGAGCATGAAACTGTGATGTTAAACCACATTTGTCAATGGGTGCGCATAAATTCGTGCCTGTCAAATCGTCGTCATATTTGGTTAAAGTTGTCCACCAGGTTGACAGACATCTACTGTTTCTGCAACAGTTAGAATGCATAAAATACTACGGACAATTTCAGCATCCAGACGATTCACATAATGTTGGGTACTCAGGACCCAATGCAACTCTAAAATGCATGGCAGTTTGCGTCCTCTGCAAAACTTCATTCTCAACGCTAAAGCTCACGTCTGAAAATGAATGCAGCGGCTTGGATTCGGAAGTAGACACTCTGATGTAAAAATGTTTTGCGCATGCCGTATTAAACATCCCAAATGGGTGTTCAGTAGTCAAACTGAGCTGTGGATGTTGGTACAATCATGCTTTTAAAAATTAGGTAAGAAGAGTGAGAAAAATTATAAATTCTTTTGTTTCAATTATTGGACCACCTACTTCCTTGTTCAGAGAAATCTGTAGCTGTGCAAGTAATAAGTTCACATTGGTTGTAAGCCATTTTTTATCAATAAAGACTAACATTCATTGGCAAGCATTTTGAGCTCAAGTAAAATGTCCAAACTCCCGATCCCACAACTTTGTCCCATTATTGTGAATTCGTCAGAGTGAAGCTTTATGGGGATAAATGCGATAGTACCGTACCTCCTCAAACATGTCATACGAATGCGGGTAATTTCTCTTTAAAAAATACAATGCGTTTCAAATTTTGAAAGTCGGGCTCTTTAAGCAAGCTTTTATTCGATATGCTCCATGTTTTCTGGGGTATACAAATTGAAGGTGGATGAGAGTAATGCACCAATAACTTTTCCTTACAATAAGTTTTCACAGAAAGTAATTTAAAAAAGAAGTGTTTGAAGTCATGAAGGACTTTATGCACTTTGGGAACTTCGCAATTGGGAGTCCTTTTGAAAAGTACTAAGGTTTAGGAGTCTATGCAATGGATGATCAAAAGTGCCAATTAGAATAATTCCCAACAGTGTATGAAATTGGTGGACCCCAGCCACTTTCTAATTGCACGTAGCAACTTCTTCCGAAAATCTGATAAATATTGGACAGACAGCTTATTAACCATTGCTCCAGAAATATGCTAGAATTATCAAATATTTCTGCAAGTATTTTGTTTAGTTAATTGTCTTCATAACTTACAATGAACTCCTCTTCATCTCCAATATCCTCAGAGGAAATTCCTAATAACCGAGCCCACTTCTTCGTAGTGCATTGAGGGGACTGTCCTGTTTTACTATCAGGGGTGGCTAAATTACATGTTGAAGAGGTTTCCGAGCTGTGAGCAGTTCCTGTGGTGGGTTTTATCCTTTCTTCCTCTGCTAACTCCAAAGGCACATCCGATGTGGGGGCAGTCTTGTATTTATCGTCCGGACACTCGGTTGTATCAGTCTGACTGTTGAGGGCAGACTGGAGCTGATTACATACGGTTAGTCGTCGGGTGACCTCCACAAGGCGTTCGACGCTGGCACTGAGGTGGGAACTGGAAGTGAGATTCTCGGTAACCTCGATATTTGGTACCTGTACAGGTACAGTGGCTCGTGATTCACTCATTACCAGATCATAGGGGAAGTGGCCAAACTAGGTACGCCAGATGTGCAAGTTTTCAAGGGCGAGAGCAAGAGTGGAAACCTAGTGCTGATAGTCATGATGCGCGCGCTTGTCAATACCCAATGGCTAAGCAGGGTGTGATATGGCAGTGGCCAATCAAATACCATCATGGGGTAAGGTCACTAGGGCGGGTAATGGTGGAAATCCCTGTAGATAGCAAACCGCTTGACGAAAGTGTTTTGCTTCAGCTCGATTCTTATTGAAAAGGGGACCAATCGCGTCTGCGTCATGCTGCTTAATAATCAAGCGATGTTCTGAAAATGTTGCGATACCATTCTAAAACGGTTTAATTCTTTTAAAACAATAAATAACTGTTGTCTTTTTGGTGGGGGGATGTCGAAACTCCTGTCTTCCCTTTCTTCAACGCAATATACACTGCCTTTTCTTCCACTGTACAGAGTAATTACTTGCACGAGATGGGTACTAAACTCGGCTTTTTGCGGTTGACTGTAAATCTCCAAAATGTCACAAATTTAACCTTATGTACATTTAATTATTACTAACTCACAAAAAGCGAAGCAACTTTGGGCCCAAATATAAGAAAGGCAGAGTTTTAAGCTGTTTTGTTTTACAAGAGTTTGCTTTTTCTATGGAAATAGGGTGGTGGGGTGGGGGCGAAATGCATGCCGCACCTCATAATTTAAATGTCAGAAGACTAACATTTTCACCTTTTGCACGAATGGTACTCGAAAATTTCGCCTTGTCGCACTGTGAGTGTGCGATGACTAAATCGTCTGGATTATTTGGCCAAAACGCGATTAGCTTTGCCTATTCACACCTTCCCTCAAGGCACTAATATTAAGGAAATCGTGATAATAAACCTTGAGAGGAGTTTTACAAATTCAATTTTTTTTACAACAGGGGGTTGGTGTTCACACCGACATAATGCAAGTTTGCAAACCTTTGGTAATGACCTCTTCGTGAGCTGTTGTACAAAGAAATCTGAATTAAATCAGTGTTTTACAATGGTGGGTAAATCAAAGTGCTCGACTTGTCATGAGCTTTTCTCCTATGGTAGGCGTGATATCTCGAACAGGGTACGTTAACTTTAGTAATTGAAACCAAAAATTGAATTTCTTTAAACAATTTTTAGGCCATAAAATGAAGTGAGCTAAGTGGATTTCACTCACGCAGCAAAAGAAAACGTTAAGCTCATCTAACTCGTGAGCGGAAAATTGGGTCCACAATACATGATCTACTTCTGGATGTTTGATACCAGAAGGCAGTTCAGTGAGGGGGCATCTCAGGAGCAGTGACGGAAACATACACTTACGAATTGAAAGCCTACTTTTATACCCACGAGGCCCACAGTGGATGTCAAAAAAGCCGGAGTGAACTAAAATGCTACTAAGTATTTACCAAGAATAGGGCTGTAGAAGTTGTGGAGAAATTACAGGTTCCCAAATTAATAAAAAGGATCCGAGAGTTACTCATTTTAACTTTTTAAGCACGTAACACCAAGTTTGCATTTAGCTGCCTCGGTTTCCACTGCCCCAGAATTTGTTAATAATCAAAACGTCTCTTTGAGGAGGCATTTGCTAAAGTTGGTAAAATATTCATGAGTAGGGCACCAGACAGCATGTCTTATGTTTAGGCACATTAATCATGGCGCGAAACTAGCTGTCAAAGGCAGTCCGTAATGTCAACAAAACGCTTCTGGTTATGTGTTGAAATTATAAGGCATAAGAGGACTTGGTAGTTAAAAGTGTACAAGTACAGAGTGGTCGAACAACTTTGCTATTCGTACCATAACCTAAAGATAAAACAAACACATTCCTTGAATTGCAAATGTCATACCTTTACATTGATCACTTCAAACCAACGCATCAAGGCTCATTCTATGTTAAACTGCATCTAAACTCGCATTTAATTCCCTAACTTCTCTTAAGAATGAGCTTCTTCTATCAAAAAAGGGAATTCAGATCTAAAAATAAAGCCATTTTAAATTAAAAATAATCTAAGTGAAAATTTTGGTTTGCCTATTAGTAGTGGGTAGGACGTACTCCGGCAACAGCATTCAAAAAGTTATAGTCACTTTAATTGTGCATGCTTCCGCAATCACTTTCCGCTGAGAATTTGGGCTCAAAAAATTCAATCAAACAAAAACTGCTAGCGTGACCTGCAGAGTATCCACCTGAACCAGATAGCTCCATCAAAGTGAATTAGTCTCCTTTAATTATTCCATGCATTCATGCGAAAAATTTTACGCTGAAGATGCTATGAACTGGACAAAGCGTGAATTTTGTGCAGCCTTCTAACACGTCTGAAGTAAATTATTTAACAGATGGCGGTTTTTTATATTAAAATTCTGGTAGCACTTATGCTCAAGCAAATAGTAGGCCAGGCAGAATCGGTGTTTTACTACAGGGATGAAAACATTTAATATGTAAACAGCAAAAATGATTATTTCTTTTAAGTCAGTCGAACCCCATGTGCAGCCGTCTCAACACCGGATACCCTCATCTTCGGACTGAATTTCAAAAACCCGTATGCATTCCAAGAATAGCTGATAGAGAGCTCATAAAAGTGTGGAAAAGGATGTGAACTTCTGGGCGGCCCCCTCATACATAAAGTCTTCGTGGTTGCTGGCGATTATGATGCCGATAAAGCCTCAAAGTACTTCATGCAAGGCTCAAATATATCATTATGTCTTTGCTGTAAAAATCTCTTCATATACTCACCAGAAAAGTCTTATTTCTGAGCTCAAAAACTCCATCAACCCCTACTTAAGCATTGCTTTAGGTAGACACTAGTGTTTTCTGGCTTTATAATCTAATTCAGATAAAAGAATTGCTCGTGCATTTACTCTGGATCCTGAGTCGAAAGAACTAGCCAACAGAAATTTATTTGGTTGATTCGCTGGAGGAGTTTATAACCAGACTTCATTAGCTTCCCTCACAAACGGTGAAGGACGATGTCATGCCTACAATAACCTTGCATTTTTTTTAAATGCATTCGAAGTTCATTCGTGCTATTTTGAAACATAGAACAATACTTCTGCTATGTTCTTCCCAAGATTCTAGTCTCGACCAAGTTGGCTTCCATTCTTTAATCGGAACTGTGTCAGTAGACCTGTGAATATGTACATTTTAATCGCATTTGACTTGTGTCATGCTGGAGCAACTTACATCGGGATAGCATCCCTCAACTTTCCCAGCACTGAAAATCCAAATGCAAGTCTTTGGGTAATTCAAAAAGAGGACTAGTTAATGCTAAGCTTGCTTATTTAAATATTTTTTGGATGCTTATATGTAAATCAATCTAAGGCTGATATTTTAGGTAGTTTTCTTGGTGATTTTAACAGATTTTGGCATAAGTACATTGATTTTATTTCACATAGTCCTCACAAAATTCAAAATCGTGTACCGCACTGGCTGTTTGTCTAAGTCTTCGTTTTGATTTCGTAAGCACTTAGGGCTCCAACCATGGTACCTCTGCTGGGTGGTATGGCCTTCGGGTTATTCCAGTAGTCCTCCAGCCCCTCTGTACGTCGGTAATCCATTTTCTGACAACTTATCATGCCTTTTGTAGCCTTCAGGGAAGTCTGGAGGAGCTACAATTAAAGCACGGACATTCACAGTGCAGAAACAAGTACATTACAAGAAAAGAAGAAGGTCTACCATTTTTAGTACGTGGCAGAATCAAGTTCCAGTCCCCCTTTTTACAAATGGAAATCGGCTAATCTCTATGCGTTAGTTTGACTTACCGTTAGGCTCCGATTCATATATATAAGTAGATAAGAATCGTAGTTCCCAAATCTGCTTACTAAGGAATCCATTTTAAATGATTAGAAGTTGCACTTTCCTTTAAATAAAAGTTAACAGAACAGACTGACTCGTATTTGGGCTTTAAATTAAGTGCAAATTAATACTGAGAAGTTATCTATTGTCTCAGGAGCGACTGACGTTCAAGCACAATTTCTCAACTCAACTTACCAATTTGATATCGTGGTAAACACCCCTCTCTGGACGTTAAGAAAGAGCTACAAATCAAACTTTATCGTTTTTGACTAGCTAAATGGCTTGATTGTGATGGTAGAAATTCCCTAACGTGAGAAATCGTCGTAAACTGAACGTCAAGGATGTTGGGGTTGAAACATTTAGGGGTGTGCTAACGCTCTCCACTAGCATGAAAGGTGCGGACTTGAAAGATCTTACTGATGCGCAGTGGATGTGCTGCATTCTTTTAATCGCTCACTTAAAATCCTTTAAAATGCGAATGCCGTATAAACATGTCAAGATTGTAAGGGAAAATTGCTTGGTCTCAAAACCCATTCCATTGGGATTGCTCAAATAAGGCTACTCATGGTAGAATCCCAAAAAGAGCTCTAGGTCTTGTAAAGAGGCAAACTATAAAATAAATCTCTGACAACCTAAATGACAAACTAGGAAAATTGGTAAAAACTGCACTAATATACCACAAGTATTCTCACCAAATATCACAGTCTAACAATTATTCAGGGCAGAAAGACAAGACGGTAATGGGAAAATGGTACAAACCCTTAGTAAAATATTGGATAATTATTATTTGATTCGTTAAATAAATAAAAGTATTTCTGTTTAGATTTACCCTTTTCTGGAAAATAATTTTGCACTATTTGTTACACTTTCCTAATCTCGAAATATGGAAACAAAGGTCAGTAGTATACTGCTGCATGTCATGAAATTTGAAGGGTTACGTCTTTTCACAATTTGTGATAAATCTTTAATAACAAAGCCGAGTATACCTTTGCAGTGGCAGCATTCTCCATTCAGATGCATTAAGATCATGAGAGTTGAGGCAGACATTGGTAGTTAATGCTTCACTTCATTGTCTATCGGGGGTATGCTGAGGGGGAGATATCAATGCCACAGCTTCACCCTTGCCTCACACAGGAGGATGTGAATGGCAGCGAACGGGGCAACTTGCTTTTTCTACGCTGCAAACTTCCGCTTTCCAAAAGT